TGGTGGTGGGTGATGATGGTGGTGGGTGATGATGGTGGTGGCAGTAATTATGGTGACAGGTATAATGTAGAACACAATTTATATCTAACTGTACCTCTTTAAATTCATTGACACCAAGAAGTGTTCCCTTTGAATCAAGCTCTGGGGCTTCAATGGCAAAATATGCCTCTGAAAATGGAATATTTTGTCATTAATTTTTGTGGCAGGAATAATTAAGATGCACTCCAAGGCTATATAGAACACAATTACACAGCAGTAATTACATACCTCTTCTAAGTTCTTCAGATAAGGAGTCAGAGCGTTCTCGAAATGAAATCAATGCATTTTGAACCTGGAAACAGACCAACACTGCAGTTGCAATTTTGTTGCCTTATACATGAAAGCAAAATTTTAAATCCAGAAGGGGAGCGGGGATACTAATGGAGTTCTGGTGAATTAGGTAGCATTCCACAATAAATTATCATACTTTGAGTTTGAAGGGTCAAAGGGGCCTTACTTGAAACATCAAATTCTCAACATTTTTCAGGTGGTTCAAACACAAACCATGGCAGCTCATAGCCTATACTTACCATAGTTAATGGTATTGTGTCTTCATTTTGTGCCCATGTCACGAAAACATTCTCAAGCATTTGCCCCCTTCGTTCCAGCTCCTCCCCTTTCATTCGTTCCATTTTTTCTCTTTCCATCCGTTTCACTTGTGCGCTTGCTTTTAACGTCACCAACCGATTTGCATCAATCTCAAAAATCTCGCTCTTCAGGTCTTCTGCGACCTTCCTCAAGCCTTTGGCATATGGTGAAGCTTCTGGGAAATTACTATACCTTGGATTATTTCGCATTAAGTACTGTGCTAAATAATTCACTGGATTAAAATTTGACACTGCCGTTTCAGTATCAACAAGTTCGCGTTTTTCTGCTTCTGTCAATAATTTCTCCAAGCCCATTATTAGAGAAGGAAACAAGTTCTCTATCAAATAAATCCGAAGGTCAATAGTCGCTGGATTATTGTTCATCCATTCTCGGGCCAGCACGTCCAAAGGCACGAGTCTATTTTGAGGAAACGCCATATCTCGCAAACGTTTCTTACGCTCAGATTTAGCTTTCTCGATTCGCTTGTTTATGGTCGCTTCATGCTTTGATTTCCAGCGACGAACAGAGTTTCTTGCAAGCTGTGCAACGTACGGCGATGCTATGCGTTTTGGGCTTTCTTGCTCAAATTCTCAAATTCATTTTGATTTTTTACGTCAGTAATTGACCTTTGCGCGAGCACAGAGTCTGTCATTTCGCCAGCCTTCGATCTAGTTCAATTCTGAATTGTCCACGAATATAATTTCCCAAATCTTATTAAATTTCCGAACAATATAAATCTTAACTTTGTCCCTTTTTAAGCCAGAAATTTAAAGCAATATACAGTAAATATGTAGACATATTAAAAGAAATTGACCACCTTTGACTCAAAACGTGGATTTGTTGTAGCACGGTTGTAGTGATGTACAGTGATTTGCAGTAATTTTTCCCCTCGGTTTCCAAGGATACCGCATAAACAGCTTGTTCTTTTGACTATTCAAATTACACTTAAATATTCAAATTAAACACGGAAACGGAAAGTTGACAGACAGACACTTGCACCCTGCTAGTACTATAAACTAAAACTATTTACATGATGTGAAAATACACGATATCACAACCATTTCTCAAGTTGGTTCTCTAACGATAAAAAGTTTAAAATGGTGTGTATTCTGAGTGCTGCTCAGTCGACTCTACAAGCGACATTGCGACCAGCAATCTGGCTTCCGGGTATCAGAAGTTTGCATTCTTGTAGTGAGAGGTATTATTACTGTAGATTCTTCGTGCTTTTGTTTGCATGAATTGTCAAAATTCGATATTCTAACATTCATATACAATTCCACAAGAAAATAATACTTGAATTTCGCGATCATACGGTATAAATATAGTATATATTATAGTTTATATGGTCGATATAAAGTTGAAAATCCAGTGCTTTTAATGTAAATAATATATCACATGATAGCAGCTATTTATAGGAAAAGAAATGGAAATATTATTCTACATAATTGTTACACCAATGTAGCAAATTAATCATGTTCTGTATTAAATTTGCAACAATTTATAGTTTATTGCATCCTGGAATGTTCTCATTTCTAATCTATTAATAAATATAAGTCAGTGTTATTAATATTATATATTAACAATACTGTAGTAATATTAACAAGTTTAAATTTAATTTTTATCAATAACTTTTCCAGGTGGGAAATAACCGAGCTTACTCCGGCAATATGTGTTCAAAAAGTTGTCGATGCCATCGCAAGATTGGCAGAGAAGGAAAAAATCTTTTTACACAAGGTAACGGCACAACTTTGCAAAGTCAAAGCAATACAGCCCTGGCCCCCGGCAATCTGATAAGAGGTGCATTGATAGCAAGTTGCACTTACTCCAACCTTTCCTTAATTAGCTGCATATGAAATATATTTTCATATTCATTTTAGGTTGATAGAGAGAGAAATATTGTCCAGATTTTTAGCTATACAAAAGCAGAATGGCTGGATATTGTTGAAATTGAATTCTATCCCGGTCAATTTTCTGGCACTGAAGGGAAAGTAAGTCATTGAGTTTAATAAAACAGAAACACATGCTTTTTCTGTACATGTCATATCGGTTTCCAAAGTAAAATCATGACCATGCAGCTGGGTTATTCCAACAAAAGTATAAGCAAAGTTAGTATCAGTAATTAACTCTTAATTCTTAACTACAATATACTCTGAGTAATTAAAATTCAATTATTTGTTTCAGGCCAGATCTTTCTCGTCAGGTCTACTACCAGTATGGGTTCCTTTATCTTTTGTCTTTAACACGGTAAGGTTATAGTCAACAAAAAGAGTGACTGCGAAGCAGACTAGTAAGGTTACAGTACATTATAATTTTCCAGGCCACAGTAAACATAACATATTAAATACCTAACTCTGACAACTAAATACTAAATACTATCCTTTCTTTTTCAATAGATTTTCTTTTTTGTGCCATTCTACGACAACCAATTTAACAAAAAGAGATTGGCAAGAATCAAAGAAGCAATGCACCTAGATAGACTTGACCAAGTTGAGCAACAGACCTAGTCTGAGCTTCAGAGCTTATATTAAATACTAATTAGTGATATTTTTTATTTTGTGTTAAATATATGATAATATTTGTATTTATTTTCACACAAATTTTTGCTGTTTTGTTTTGTTTTATGAGATAATAAAAATTTTTTTTATGTTAACACAGTTGACATCGATATAATTAGCTGTGATTGCAACTAATGGCAAGCCTTTCAAGCAAGTAAGCTGAATATTTCATTAATACGTTACCAATAACTGAATAGCAATTTCGATTCAAACTCTCAGACTTGACTCATTGTCGATTGTAGGAAATTTATTGCCCATCCAATTCATCTGTCAAATCTTTTGCTTTCACCTTCTTTTTTGCTAAACACCAGGTTAAGAATCATCACCATCATTAAATACCATCAGATGACCATCAATCTACTATCATCCATCATCATTATCCATCAATCACTATCATCCATCATCATTATCCATCAATCACCATCATCCACTATCATCCATCATCTTATCCATCAATCACCATCATCCACTATCATCCATCATCATTATCCATCAATCACCATCATCCACTATCACTAATCATCATCCACCATTATTCAATCATTCACCATCATCCACCATCCACTAACCATTGTCTATCATCATCCACTATCATTAATCATGTATCACCATCACTAACCATCAATCATCAAATCACCAATTCACTAACCATCATCATGAATCACCATCATTCAGCAACAACACTCACCCATCACCACAACCACCAAACATCAGTTACAGTTCCTAAACTGGCATTAACACATAATCAATGCAAAGGATACGTTCATGGAAATAATCCGCAGTCTTTTTCCTCAGTTCATCAACACTCTCCGTGTCATCTGCCCACTCCAATACCAAACGTCGTCCGTATAAATGAGTACTAGTACACAATGACTTGAACGCCCTCTGGAAAAGTATTCTCTGTTAGCAATGGACGAATTTTCGGATTGCTATTGTTACACAGTAAAAAGCATTTTCTCTTTCATCGCAACATGACGTTTCATTTCTCATACACGTGTAAAAACGCACAAGTTGTAACAAACCTGCAGCAGACTTGTAACAATGCTGTTCCAACAACTTGTCAACAGGATGTGTTCGCACTGCTTGTTCCCAGCTTGTTGACAACTTGCTACAAGGTTGTTAAGCTCAACAGACTTGTTGCAAGTTGTTCCAACAACTTGTTATCGTCCTGCAATTCAACAATTTGTCAACAAGTTGTGAGTAACAACCTTGTAGCAAATTAATAAAATAACAGCATCGTTACAACTTGTTGGCAAGCTTGTTACAAACCTGTTGCGAATACATTTTGTTGACAAGTTGTGAGATTTTTACGTGTAAATTAGTAAAATTACAAAGCGCGTCATTTACAGTACTTACCTTGGCGTCTTGTTTCGTAAGGAAATCGATAAATGCAAATCCTCTATGAGGTCCAGTGCCAGATAACTTCTTGGGTAAACGAACCGTCTTCAGTTCCCCAAATGTCCCGAAGAGTTCCCTGAGCTCTTTCTGCGTGGCTTCAAACGGAACATTACGAACCAAGATCTTGGACGATTTCTGCTTTGTACCGGAAGATGATTTTCTCTTTACCACATCTTGCCTGAAGAACGAAAAACATATTGTTGAATGCCGCAGCCGCAAAAAATTTTCACATCTTAGAGAATTACTGCATGAAAAACGTACGACTGTATCTTGTTGGATATTTTCAGTTCCAAGTTATGTCCATCTAATTCGTAGTTCTATTAGAGAAAATACAATCAATCAATTCTTTTCAGCATTTGCTATATTGTACAGTACAATATAATTTGTACAGTATATATTACACATTTCAATCTGATGTGAACTTAGACTACGTTTATACTTACGTTTATACCGTAAAGACGTGAAAAAAACATCTATCCGTACCTTTTAGGAACGCTATTTTCAGAGGAATTATTGCAACGGAGAAATGTTGTTTCGCTCAGCTTCTGAAAGTTGTACATTCCGTATCGAATAGTTGCTTTTTGCGCCGCTGGTGTAAGCCTTACATAGCCTCACGTAGTATTTCAAATACCTGTAATTTCTTGATCGCATTCAGAGCAGATTTCTTAGTTTTATATTCCACAAAGCCATACCCCATAGACAGTATTGCACCTGGAACCACAACACAAGTTAACAGAAAATAAAGTTGGTCTCTAGTTTCTAAATTTTCAATAATACCATTGTACCTTTATTCCTGGAATCTTTCTTCTTCGCAATCGTAACATTGGCAACTTTACCAGCCTCGTTGAAAAGCTGTACAGAAGATTGTAGAGAAGCAAATTAGAATCTGATTAGTTGCATGACAATATTCTCGTAAGTAAAATAGCCAGAAATAAAGACTATCGTGTCAACTGACCTCTTTTAACGAGTCTTCATTCGTATCAAAATTCAAATTTTTAACAAATAAGACATGTCCCTCTGACGTTTCATTGTCGGATTCTAAAATATAACACACAACAAAACTTAAATCCCCGCTAGTTACAACTCGCGCTCGTATTTGAAAACGGAGTTCTGGCATTTGCAAAACGGAGTTCTGCCTTTGAAAATGGAGTTCTGGCATTTGAAAAGGCTGTTCTGGCATTTGAAAAGGGAGTTCTGACCTGAACCCTGTTGCTCTTCGCTATCAAGGACATCTTCATCCTCATTTTTTTCGTTTTGTTTGCTTGGCCGTTCTGTATCAAAGACATCAGCTGGCGCCCATTCCAGATACAGCGGTACATTATTAAACTAAATGCAAAAACAGGCTCTGATATTTATGTACAGTACAAATATGTCGTGTGAAGAACAGCATATAACTGAGCTATCCAGTATAAATAAAGTTAGTTTAGTTTAGGTTTACTTCTGTAGTAACACTGGATCAATAAGAGATGATCCTTACTGGACCTCTAGGAAGAACAGTTTAGAACTGATTGAACTATTCCAGTATAGATAAAGTTAGTTTCATTCAGGTTTCCTCCTGTAGTAACACTGGACAAATAATGGATGATATAAAGTTAGTTTATAGTTTTACAGTAATTCACTTTATTACCTTGGTATAAGCAATCTTTTCAAAAGCCTTTGCAGCGCTGCTCAGTTTTTCAAACTCCACCAAAGCTGTGACGCCTGAAGGCGGCAAGATGATCTTACCAAGGTGACCGAATGGCGAGAACAGGTTTTCAAGATCTTGTAATTTTGTGCCATGTTGAAGATTCTTGACAATAATCACCGTTTTACTACGCTTTGCATCTGGCTGCAGAAAAACAGAAACTTTCATTCAAATGTTTATTGCACGTGGATTTCCTAAACACTATCAAAACATTAATTGTTTCATTGTATGTAGTAATCTTGTGTGTAAATTGGACTCGTAAACTTCCAAATCTTGGACATTTCCCCACACTCATTGATAGTCATCAATTGCCAAATTTTCCATATAAATTCTCTTCAAACCAACTCACCTGACCAAATGCGTCCAGTTTAACACCATGGTTAAGAAGAAATTCTTTCGTCTCTGCAACGACTTGAGTTTCACCAAGTGCCATTCGCAATGCCAAACCTCCTTTCGACTGCACATCTAAGACATCACTTTTGTTAGACTTGTATTTATCCGCCATTATTTCTGCAACTGCGTTCACACCAAGGAATAGTGCGTTCCAGTTGTGTTCTTTGCTTTTTAGAGACGCCACTTTCCCCTTTTGTTTCTTCTTGTAGGACGATTCATCTTCTAAAAAGCAGGATTAGTTATATTAACAACACTCTCTGAAGACCACCGATAAAAAATAGACCTAAATTCATTTCTTAGGAAATGACTTTTTGCAAATAAACAGATGAAATAAAAACCTTCTTCAATGATATCTCCTGTATCAGTGTTCCTTTTTGGCTTAGCAGGCAAGATGTGAAGCAGTCGTCCCTGAAACACGCGACCATCTAGTTCATTAAATGCCTGAACAGCGTGCTCAGGCATCATGAATGTGATAAAAGCAAAACCCATGGATTGATTGCTGTGTTTATCTATTGGAACAAACACCTCGGTGGTGGGACCATATTTAGAAAATAATTCCAATAGCTCTTCTTCTGTGCAAGCGTAGGATAAGTTACGAAGATAAAGTCGTCCTGTCTAAAGATACAAACATCGACATCAATATACTGTGGTGTCCTTGTCTCTTGTTAACTTATAAGTCAAGGGGAAGAGCATTGGGCATTATTAACCCTTTAAGTGGCAATGCACGCAGATGTGCCCTACTTTATTATTTTACTCTGTCTAACGCCATATGATTTTACTCGTCAGGGGGAAAGTGCTGCCACACAATGGGTTAATCAGACTCTGCCTATGCACCTGTAACCCTTTAAGTGGCAATATGCCCAGATGCACCCTACTTTAGTATTTTACTCTGTCTAATGCCAGACGATTTCACTCATCAAGGGGGTAAAGCTGGCTCCACTTTATATTTTCAAACATATACATCAACCTATTAAGTTGCATTGCTCCCTATGGCCAGCACTTGCTACTTTATTATTTTACTTTGTTTAGCTAACACCAGTCAGATGATTTAAATTTACTCATCAAGGAAATGGCACTAGAACTCAATGGGTAAAAAAACTAGTTTTATTTAACTTTGTCTAAAATCGAACCTCAGCAATTGACAAATCTTTATTCGCTGCTAATTCTTTTGCATTCTCCATCCACGGTGGTTCATCTTCCATTTCATCTTTCTTCATTTCTCTTCTCTTGTCCTCAAACACCTCAATGTATCGTCCCTTGATATAATCCTTATGTCTCTTGAGCGCTTCTTTTATGCACTCCTTACTCTCGAGGTCTACATACGCTCGGCCACTCGGACGATTCTTGCTGTCCTTTGGCATACGGATGTCAAGAATTTTAAGCGGAGATAAAAACTCTTCAATGTCTTTTTTCTTGGCATGAAATGGAAGTCCTCGTAGCTTAACGGTGAATTCTGATTTCCTTTCAAAATCTTCAGATTTAACATCTTTTGTTTCATTTTGGTTTTCTGCCAGTTCCGTTCCTTCTTTCTCCAAGCTTGAATTGTCTTTTGTTGTTTGCTTTTCATCTTTATTGACGTCTTTTTTCTTTTTTGATTTTTTCTTCTTTTTGTTTTTGGCTTCAGTTTTTTCTTCAGTTTCATTCACGTTGTCTTCTGACGTCATTTTCTTCTTGAGGTAGTCCATGTCAGACAAAGTTACATTCACTGCTTCTTTTGAACCAGTTTGTTGTTCGTCAGTGTCCATTTCCAATGGTTTGTCTGCAGCTGTTCTCACACAAAAAAATTTACTGAATTTAAAGATTGATAAACAAGTTTTTGAGTTAACATATATTACGAATAGTAGCGATAATTATACCTTCATTATCATTCATTTCTTCATCACTGTCTTCACTCGAGTCTTCAAATTTCAATTTTTCCTGAAAATTATTTTAATTAAACCCATTTACTCAGTTTCATTGCACCTTACTTTATTATTTTACTCAGTCTAATGCCAGATGATTTTATTCATGAAGGAGATAATGCTTTGCTTTTTTGTCAAGTTAAATTCTTGAGCATTTTAATTGACCACAGAATATCACTGACCACAGATGAACTAGTTAGCAAAGCACAATCTATACTGGCAATATAGTCCTGAAACAAACTATCCCACAAACTACAGGACTGGAATAAGTTTGTGATGATGATAGCTTGTTATATACTTATATACTGTATTCATGCACAGACACATCTGTCAAGATGGACCATACAGACAATACACCCTTCCAGAAAATACATCTCTTTGGCTATAGTCTTGTTTTCCAGTATATACGACACCAGTTAAAGCCCAGCATCTCAATCATAAAATCAAGACTCTATAGCCAATGTGACACACCGTTCTGGAAGTGTGTATTTGACTTGTCTGACATGTTTATACACAAATATAAAACAAACAATTTTTCCTTGCCCGAGATGGAAATCTGGCAAATGTAAAGTAGCTCAGGCAATCAATGACGCCAGGTAAACATTGGTTAATCAGAGGCCCTGGTTACACGACACTGGATTCACTTTTTAATACAACATCAACATGTGCATTCAGGAGTAATAGACAGATTTAGATCGAGGACGCGGACGTCAAAGATGACGTGAAAATGGCGTGTTGTGCCCATGTATGGATATGCCACACCATTTTGACACCGTCTTTGACGTCTGCATCTTCGATCTATTCTGTCTAATGTCTGCCCACAAGTACGTTTCTCCCTTTAAACATTTTGTTATATTTTCTCGTATCATCGCAACTTTATGTGTTAAGATACTCCTGAAACACTTAAATTCGATGTTGTGACAAGCAAATCTGGTATCGCGTAAATCAGGCCAAAATAAAAAATGGTACTTCACCTTTTTAGCCACTTGTTTTTCATCTTTCTTCAATACTTCAAGTTGTTCGTCATTATTCCAAATATTCTTCTGGCTTCCAGTTTTATGAACTTCTAAAAATTCCTTAAAACTGCTATCATCTTCCAACTCTGCTAACACAGCACTTCCCTTTTTCCTCTTTTTAACCACTTCTCCCGATTTCCCCTCATCCGCTGTCCCCTCCAGTGCTCTTTTCCTTTGCTCCACTTTCTGGGCCTTCTTTTGAAACGCTGAACTTTTTTCAGAATACTTACTCCACGGTCTGGGCGCCGTTTCGTCCCCTAAATCCTTACAAACTTCAACCTGTATCTTCGAGGTATCTATAAAAGTATCATTGAAGTGTTTTAAAGCTCTTTGGGCTTCGGTATGCGTCTTAAACCCAACGAAGGCGAATCGACGAAACACGCCATTCTTGGTATACTTCAATTTTAAGTCCGTGATCTGCCCCAATTCTGCAAAGATGGTGTTCATTCGCTCCTCTGTTATATTCTTAGGAAGGTTCTTTACTATAAGACGTGACATATTTGTAAAAACTGCAAGTTTTCGTTCAAAAATTCAGCAAAATTTAAAACATTTTCAAGAAAAAAATTTTGTAAACAGAACTTCAATTCCAACGTGGTGCAATGGGGATATCCGCTGAATATGGCCGAGCCCGTAGTTTTTAGCGCAAAATATGAAAAAAACCCTGCGAGTATATCTTTTTGGTACTGTATATAGACTCTGTGAATCTGCCAGAGAAAAGTTGTTTGGAAAGGCAAGTTTCCTGGAGAAAGCCAGTATAATAATAAGTAAACATTTCGCATGTTGTGTAACGGAATAAACATTGTATCGCTTATAATCTGAAAATTAAATTAAAGGCTGGCCTCACTAAATAAGGAAAACTGTGTAATATCGACGTAAAGATAGTCAAAGCGCATTTACTATTTCATGTGTCTGTAAATTTAAACTACTTTTTGCTTTAAGCCTTTAATATTCAACAGAGATAGTTATTTAGGCAGCATATTTTTGCTTTCCTAAAACATGTTCAATACCTTATTGTTCAATACCTTTGTGAAAAACAACACGTTTATATACTGTTTCGCAAACCTTTCGATCTGTTGGACCAGAGCGGATATTTATCAGTGCAATTGTGCAAATAATGTATTTATTTATTTACACATGTATTCACGTCCAAATCAACAACAGGGATGAGATTATAAGACGGATTTTATCCTGGATTTTTGAAATCTTGCTATTTTAAAAGGCGCCATATCGTAATTTGGCTGCAAGCCAAACGCCAACTGGAACAAAATCTTTCCAACCACTGGTGAAATTTTAAACCCAGAGCCTGCAAAATAAAGCAGATACAGTGATCATGCACAAGTTATGAAAAGGATATATTTATCAAACTAACATATATTGCAGGAATTAAAGTATTAAACCCTGCCACAAAGGTGAAAATACTGGCACTAAAATAACTATACTATAATATATATGAAATATTTACCCGAAAATCCGACACCAATGACAATATTATCGAACTTCGGATGTCGATCTAAAGTGCAATCATCGTCTGGGGATACCTGAGGAAGGACAAAGAGTTACTGGAGAAAAAATTGCTATGGTGTCCTAAAAGTAGTATAGGTTTCAATTCTTGTCATTATATGTTGTAGTGGAGGAAATAAATAGTTGGCCACACAAAATGCCTTCAAACAAACTTACTGTATAAATGCAATGTTCTGTTATACTTGGTTTCCCCTCAACACCCATAACATAACGTCTCACATATTCCGAAGTATTCTTTTCAACCCAGCTGTAGTCAACATCATCCCGGGCGTCAGGATTGATTGCGGGTCCATTGTGTAAGCAGATCTGAAAACAAAAACAGAGGTAGAAAAGTTGGTTAGGGCATGCTGGTCTCATCATAATTTCATCTCAGTCAACTTCTGCTTGTCCCAAGTTGTCAACAAGTATGGAACAAGCTGTTAACAACTTTTAACAACCTTGTAACAAGTCTGCCAACAAGCCAAGCCGTTAACAAGTTGTGTTCGCACTGCTTGTCCCAAGTTGTCAACAAGTTTGGAACAAGCTGTTAACAACTTGTAACAAGCTTATCAGACTTGTTGCAAGATTGTTCCAACAAGTCATGATATAACAATATTGTTACAACCTTGTGTCATCAACCTTGTAACATTCTTGTTGTATCACGATTGTATCTGACTTGTTAGAACAACCTTGTAACAAGTCTGAGCAGTGCGAACACAAATTGTCGACTGCTTGTGAACAGATTTGTAACAACTTGTTTGCAGACCTGTAACAACTTGTGCGTTTTTACGCGTGTCGTAACACAGAACCTGTGAGGGATGGCCTTACTGGACCTCAAGAAAGAACAGTTTGGAACTAGGAGCGCAATCAGACATACCTTTATCATTCCAGGATACTCGTAGCAAGGCAGGCTGTAGATAGTTCCATTAAATATATTTACACAATCAGGCGTGTGATCAATAACACAAGGATAGTTCTCCTCAGCTGTAAAACCAGATTGCTTAACCTTCCAGTACAAAGCGCTTGTTCGTATTGGCTGCAAGAAATCGGTTGAAAAATTACGTTGAACACTCTGCGATCGACCACAAATCAACACAAAACGGCGGCTAATTTTTCGTATGAAGAACAAAATTAAACTTTATTCGTATAATTTGACTTCCACCAGGGAATACATGATAATAATTAGCAGATAATAAATCACAACAACCTTTAATTGAAGATCAATGCCCAGTGGTCGGAGAAGCGAACTTGCCCAAGGTCCTAAACACAATATTAAATGGAGAGCGTTAAAGATATACTCTTGTCCAGGAACAGATGACCCGTCCAGGCGACATTAGGCAGGGAAAAGATTTTATCTGACAATTTTTATGTAGAAATTTGACAGACGTATTATCATTCGCCATGGTCAAACAAGAATGGGAGTTGAGAAGCGATAATTTGCATGCGAGTTTTGTCAACTTTCATGCCCCGGTCAAACGAAAACAAGAGTTGCATGAGAGTTGATGAGAGTTTACTCGATAATCATCAAAATTTGAACCATGCAGCTCAAAGTTGATGAGAGTTCTTTATTTCGTTCAGGAAGTTAAGACCAACACAAAGCAAAGCAAAAACAATTTATTGTTACCAACAGAAGCTTGTATTACCTGGTGTTAAAATAAGCTTCCTGGTTTTGTACAATCCTTTGTTTGTCTTGACGTGGATAATATCTCCAGGAACAATGTCAGTGACCTTCTCGTTGTCTTGTAACACACCTCCGAACTTCACGAACTGGTTCTTTACACAAATAAAGATACTTATTACAGATTGAGAGAGATACAAACGCACAAGTTGTAACAATCCTGCAGCAGACTTGTAGCAATGCTGTTCCAACAACTTGTCAACAGGATGTGTTTGCACTGCTTGTTCCCAGCTTGTTGCCAACTTGCTACAAGGTTGTTGAGCTCAACAGACTCGTTAAAAGTTGTTCCAACAACTTGTTATCGTCCTGCAATTCAACAAGTTGTGAGTGACAACCTTGTAGCAACTTGATAATTGATGATAAAATAACAGCATTGTTACAACTTGTTGACAAAGCCTGTTGCAAACACATCTTGTTGACAAATTGTGAGATTTTTACATTTGTACCTGGAAAATATAAACATTGAAGTTCTACTTGTATTTAGTTGTAATTATACTCACTCAATCTGTAAATGTCTTGTTATCAGCTTTACCCATACTGGCTATTTATTTAAAATCCACAGAGTGCAAGAGCTACAACAGTACTTCTAAATGTTATACCTGGACGGCAGCAAGACATTTACTGGCTAATAACATCCCTCCTGTTGGTTCAAGTAAACCTTGGTGACCAGAAGGAAAATTTAGTCTGTATTTCTCTTTCAACTCTTTGTTGCTAACTGGTTCAGTTTTGATGCCATTTGATGTTAAATTATCTCTGACGTGGTTGATTGAGGTGTAAGGTGGAGAGTCGATGGTTAGACAACCACAATTGCTAAAAATTGAATGTATACTGCATGAAGAACATCTGATCTTGATTAAATAGTTGTCTCATTATCATTTCAGTTGCATACAAGAAGAATAGAAGATAATCCACACTGGACCTCTAGGGATTGACAATAGTTTAGAACTGATAGAGTTATCCAGTATAAATAAAGTTAGCTTAGGTTTCCTCCTGTAGTAACACTGGATCAATAAGAGATGATCCTCACTGAACCTCTAGGAACAAATTCAGAAGAGATACCACACTTACATGAAGAGTTTTTCCTTTGCCATTCGCTCAATTTGTTCCCACAATGCAAAAGCCTCAGGCATCATGTCTGCATAATATTTTTTATCGTATGAATGACGTGTTATCCTCGACTGACCATGAGAGCTGCCTCGAGAATGGGGGAGTGGAAACTAAACAGAAAAATATTATTCTACTACGATACATGGAGATTTGCAAAGATATAATATATATTAGATAATGTCACTCCTGGTGTATTAGAAGTCATTAAAATGCACTGAAGTGGCAGAATTTAAATGTCTGTCTGTTTGTTTGTCTGTCTACCTGTCTGTCTGACTGACTGACTGACTGTGTGTCTAATATTCATCTATATATAATCGTTGGCTACCAATGACTCAATGATACAACAGCATTCATCTCTAAAAAATAAATTATTTGAAGGGTAGATTTCATCCTAGAACCACAGATTTCTTCACAATAGTGAGATGTGTGGTCACCGGGGAAAGTCTGGGATTGCAGAATAAATGCACAGGACAAAAACTGATTATTCTGTGTGAAGATCGACATTTGATTACTCTGTGGTCGGGGAGACAGGGAGGGATCAAAGATATCATGGAATAAGTCTAATATTGTAGGTAATTTATTTGTTGACAAGACCATTACATTGAAAATATGAAGAGGAAAGTTGAGCAAGACACATCTGAGGGTGGGATATCTGATGTGCAAGTATAGAGGTCTGGTCATATATATTAGAGAGGTTCAGATTTCACAACTGCTACACTGGATTGATATGCATTTGATTGGTTAATCGGGTAGATTAAATTCATCTGATTGGTTAATAAGTCAAAATCTGGTGGTGGAAGTCAAAATCTGAACCTGTCTGTTGGCATGTGGTTACAGAATAAAGACACACAGAAGGTTGACTCAAGTAACCACTGCCACACCATGATTCATCATCAAAATGCTGACGGCATGGGCCTAGCCAATGCGTGTTTGAGAGGCATCCCCCCCTGGAAGTCCACCGTTTTGAATATTATCAGAGGGGTGAATGCCTCTCAAACGCACACTGGCTAGGACCATGGCGTCAGCATTTTGATGACGAATTACGGTTACGCCAAAATCATTGGAAAATCATAGGGAAAACCAACAAGTCGGGCTTCTGTATGACTTATTCTGTGATGTACTGATGTGGAGCTACAACATGGCACAACTAGCTAGGGAGTGGTTGTGATCAGGGCAAAGATCAGAGAGAAATCTATTTGTGCGCAAAACGTGACGATATAACCAAAGTCTCTGCCTCAGACCACATTACTACAAAACAACAATTAAATACGACGAGAAACGTATAGCAACAATTAAATATGATGACAGTACCTGTTCCAAACACAGCGTTTTTTTCCCAAGTGAAGCTGAATATCTTGCAGTATTACTGCCTTCTATTCCTGCACCTACAACAATACAGTCCCATATTTTATCTGGTTCCATGGTCTCCTCCATATTTTTTAAATTTTTGCAAAACGTTATAATAACAATCAATGTTTCAATGACTTTCAAATGCTGCTGGCTGAAGATTTTTAAAGATTGCGCAATCGCAATGGGAATGACCACTGACCGCTCTCAGGCAAGATGGCTGGCTCAATGTATCTGTTCGTCTGTATGTTTTGTTCAAGAATATAAAAACCTTGTCAATAAACTGCATCTGTTTTATATTGCAGCCGAAATAACAGGCAATGCAAAAATGCAATATACAGTACAGTCTATTCCATATTGAGCCATAAATCTCCGCCACTGACTTGAGCCAAATCAATGTTTTGCTTTCTTTCATCGTCCTTTTCTTTTGCCATCCGTCTTGCCATTCTAAACACGTGACAAAAACATGTTAGTCCTGGCCTATTCATTTCTTCATTCGTTATTTGTTCCATAGCTTGCGTAGGCGGTGTTTAGGCCAGGATTTCAGTTCCATATAGGAAGGGTTTTACAATAAGCTCAGCCAATTAATAAAACCGATCCAACGTTCCTGAGCTCTGTGTTCCCCGCAAAGATTTCATCACGTTCCCTTGTTTCATACGAAATTTTAAGCATTGTGATCCGCGTGTTCCATTGCAAAAGAGGTCTTGTTCCCTCGAAACCCCGAGCAGATACAAACAACGCAAAGAATACAAGGTATTTTGGACAATTTGTTCTTCTGAGAAAATATAAATTAGTTAATAAAACCCTTGCATGCATTACAAGCTTGAAAAAATATTACAAAATTACATTCATTGTTAAAACTGCATTGAATTGACTTATTGAATACTGTTATCCAATTTAACCATTGAGATGGGGAAATATTATTTTAGGAATGTATATTGTTTTCCCTCGAGATAAAATTATTGTTCACATTGTATACGAATAATGTATGGGATTATAATATATTCTTTCATTTAAAATTAAATTATGAGTTGTACTCCCTAAACCATTGAAATAAGCTTATGCGCTTGTATCGTACGCCATTTTAAGAGTTTTATAATATACAATGCAACACATCATGGTCAACTTCAGATGTGATTTGCCACGAAATATCAGTGGTAAATACACATAGTGAACAATCAAATGTAAGCCTCAGATCAAACCGAGGATGAGAGTTGTCACAGTCACGCATTGCCACAGGGGTCATTTTAAGCTTTTGATTAACAAAATAAAGGTTTGATGAATGTTCCAACTATGTTTTAACTTATAATACATGATAGTGTTGGGAAAGCATTAAGAACAGCTAACCAAGATCGCGTCACTGCCATCATACACTCTCATCCTCGTTTCATCCGGGCTTAAATCACTCTGACTTAACTTCGATAATGCGACAAGCGAGTATGTTATCGCGTAGCTAAGGCGTTCTAGTTGATCACCGTGTGCTGCACATTAGACTACTACCTATAACCCTTATACGTCGGAATTTCGATGCGTCAACGCTTTTTTCAACTCTCGGTCGACAACACGTTGTGTCAACGAGCGTTTACTCCGGCTTCTATCCTTTTCTTTACGTTCCTTGGTGCTTTTCCTTCGAGATGACATACTCCGTTTCATCGTCTGCGTTGAGATGTTATTGTCTCTCAGTTCGTCTGGTATCGACGTGAGAGAGGACGAAAGAGAGGTCTTTGGACGTAATGGAAGATGTTCGACTTTCTCTGGGGGTGGTTTTGCAAGAGAAATACAACTGGCTCTCAGAGAATCGTCCATAATTCCGCCACACGACTCCAGAACTCCTTCCGCAAAACGAACAAATATCTGCGCCCGGGTTTCGTATTGTAGTTCCTGGGGACGAGAAAGATTGAAACGTGTTTGCTCCAAACTAACACAACTTTCTTTATTCTGGATAGTTCTGTCAGTTCTAAACTATTCTCCCTAGAGGTCCAGTAAGGATTATCTCTTATTGATCCAGTGTTACTACAGGAGAAACCTAAACTAAACTAACTTTATTTATACTGGATAGCTCTATCAGTTCTAAACTGTTCTCCCTAGAGGTCTAGTAAGGATCATCTCTTATTGATCCAGTGTTACTACAGGAGGAAACCTAAACTAAACTAACTTTATTTATACTGGATAGTTCTATCAGTTCTAAACTGTTCTTCCTAGAGGTCCAGTAAGGATCATCTCTTATTGATCCAGTGTTAATACAGGAGGAAACCAAAACTAAACTAACTTTATTTATACTGGATAGCTCTATCAGTTCTAAACTGTTCTTCCTAGAGGTCTAGTAAGAGTCATCTCTTATTGATCCAGTGTTACTACAGGAGGAAACCTAAACTAAACTAACTTTATTTATACTGGATAGCTTTATCAGTTCTAAACTGTTCTTCCTTGAGGTCCAGTAAGAATCATCTCTTATTGATCCAGTGTTACTACAGGAGGAAACCTAAACTAGACTAACTTTATTTATACTGGATAGCTCTGTCAGTTCTAAACTGTTCTCTAGAGGATTCCAAACCATTATCGGTCCAGTGCTACTAATTCTAAGCTGTTCTTCCAAGAGGTCTAGAAAGTGCCATCCGGACATCCACTCTTACTACGGGATGAAACAGAATTATTGGAAAAGACCTGTTGTATTTGGTAGAGTCAAGCTGCAGGTAAAATACTGTATAAAACCTTTGGAGGTTTTTATGATTTTGGATTTTAGGATTCGAACCACGGTTATAGAGGGGGAGGCACCACTGTCCAACCAATACCCGCAGAAAAATGAAATGAAAACCTTACCCCTTGGTCATAAAATGGTCCTGCAAATTGACTAAAACCATCAAATCCAAAACCTGGAAAAAAGAACAGGAACGATAAGAATGCAAAACGAAAACAATTAATTGAAAGTATATTTACAAAGAAATGAAAAAAATTGCGTCTTAAGAGACTAACCTTGCAAGAAATTGGTTCCCAGTTGCTTTTCGGCGAAGTTTAGTGATATGGTGGACTGCATAATTGTCTGGACTGCTTGTAGACACCCCACATCCTGACTGTGACCCAGGACCATGGCGAGCTTATTGCTTATCAACGAATAACTACGAGATATCAAGAGAGTGGATAAGGTCACTGATCTATAAACACTTGGCAGTTCGAAATAGATTGACTTAAAATAGCTGGATGGTTCCCGTACTAATCCTGTCATTTCTGTGATTACTGGGTAGTGTTCAAAGTAACATAAAACTAAACTAAATATACTTACATTACAGGGAAAACTTTGGGAAAAACAAGACTTGCTTCTGCCAAGACTTCAAATAAGAATTTCTCCAGTAAGTCGTCTTTTGTGTGCCGAACTAATGTTGACTGAAATAACAAGAATAAGCGGGTCTTTCAACCGTGGCTTTTAATTTACAAGGGAAAAATAAAGACAGTGTTTCCTGGTTTGTCCACCTTTGGAAAACATGGCTAAAAGGAACAATGTTTCCTGTATTGCCAAATTCTGGTAACAAGGCAAAGAAACAATGACACAGGGCTCAAGTTACAGCACTGTCAAACTTGTTTTTCTTACCAATGTTGTAAGTAACAGAGCTTGTGTTTGTGTGTCATTCACTACTCCTGGATCCAACAATCTGTTCTCGACTTCCGCTGGCCACAAGAACACTTCCGTTTCAACTTCAGAGATCTGCGCAGGCCCAGGGGAGATTGGTGATTCTATAGTTATAGTAACTGGACTCACAGGCATCGAACTGGGAGGTGTGACTGATGATTGACTTTCTGGGATGGATTTTGGTCGAGCGTGAAGGGAGCTGTTTGGACGTAGTTTAGTTCGGATCTCATCCGAGACAATAAGCAAGGCTAGATGAGAAATGACAGTTGTTAGAAAGTAGAAACATTTTGTATTTTTATATGGTTTTGTCCTCCTGTGTAAAGGCCCAAATTTGCCACTCAAGAAAATTTTCCGCATCGAAAAAATTTTGATTGGCCGACACAAATTTTCCATCGGAAAAAAATTTTGAAGTTGAAAATTTTCAACTTTGAACAATGATATTTTCGGAAAATTTTCTGTTCGTGGAAATATTTCTTGAGTGGAAATTGGCCTAAAGTTTAAAATGGATTGATAAATAATTGATTACTGTACCGGCGAGATACGGAATTGTTTCTGTATACACTGCAAACTTTTCTCTTCTGGAAAAAAATATGTAATTATATCCAACCTTTCTTTCATAATAAAATAACTGCTTTTTAGTAAATATTACTGGGCAGGAAAAATGTTGGCTGTTATATGAGCAAACAAATTAAACTACACTCTCAATTCAATTTATTATTGCCCAGCAAATATAAGACTACTATATACAACGGAAAAGTGAATATTACTAATTTACGTTCTCACTCTGGTTGACAACAATCTGTGGCACGAAAGTGCTTTGATGAAATCTACCTCTACAAATGAAACTAAATCTTACACATAATTTGACTTGTGTTTTCCTGCGATGTTCAACATGAGGTTTAGAATGCGGATGGCGCGTGTGTTCGTGGATGAACTACCATGACGTAGGCCTAAACAGTAAAAACAAACTTTAGTAACAAACACAGCAACACTACCATCACCATCATCATCTCCATCAATATTATTATCACCATCATTATCATCACCAACATCACCCTCATTAACCATTATCTACCATCATCCACCATCATCCACCATCATCATCATCCACTATTAGCTCTATCATTATCCAGCATCACCCCATCATTATCCACCATAATCATCTACCATTACCACCATCATCACCATCGACCATTACCTCTTTCATTATCCAGCATCACCCCCATCTTTATCCACCATCATCATCTACCATTACCACCAACATCACCATCCACCATTACCTCTATCATTATCCAGCATCATCATCCACCATTATCCACCATCATCATCCACCATTACCACCACCACCATCCACCATTACCTTTATCATTATCCAGCATCACCCCATCGTTATCCACCATCATCATCTACCATTACCACCATCATCACCGTCCACCATTACCTCTATCATTATCCAGCATCACCCCCATCATTATCCACCATCATCATCAACTATCATCACCATCATCACCGTCCACCATTACCTCTATCATTATCCAGCATCACCTCCATCATTATCCATCATCATCATCCACTATTACCACCATCATCATCAACTATCATCACCATCATCCACTACCATCATCACCACTACCACCATCATAACCATCACCAGTCACCACCACCCTCATTAATCACCACTACACCCACCACCTTACCTTTCAAGAGATAAGCAACGAGAGCAAAATGAAAGTTGTTGGCAAAGCTAACGCCAATGATATGATCAAGTTGTTTACAATGCCACTCCATTCTTGGATCTTTACGAAAACTCAGAAGTACTTCATCGACACTCTCCTTGTCAAACACGCCTTGCGACTCGAGAGTGAGTAAAGATTGTTCGAGTAATGTCAAGCCAGCCGGATATAGTCCGCTTTCGGCAAGCTGTAAAGTCCCAATGGCAATCCAAAATGAAGCTGTATGAAATCTCGAGTTCTTATCTAAGATTGTGAGCAGCTTCGTGAAACACATGATAACGGCCTCGATAAGACTCACATCACTGAAATCATTCAGAGCCTGAAAGTTTTTTAAACAGTCGTTAGTACATGTGTCTTTAAATCCTGTGACCCAAGTTCTATTCCTACAGTTATATCATTATCGACTACAATAAATGTTTGTCTTTACCTTGATAAATACAAGCAGAAGTTGCCTTATTTGTGCATCATCAATTTCCTTGCAAACACAGCCGTAGACTATCACAGCTCTCGCTTGAAGTGGCGGGTTGTTTTGAAATGCAAATCTGAAGAAGAGGAACGACGTTAGTTGATAAACAGAAACTAATGTGCTGCTTACTCAAGGTGAAAATTTGACGAGAACATTATTTGATAAATAAATCCATACTCCATTGTCAATTTGATCCAGGTATCCAGCCACGTACAGTCAGGAATGTCCTTCATACAAGCCTTAAAAGAAATATAATTGAAATGTTAATTGTATCACCAGTTTCTGTAGACTAAACTACCTTCATTACTACAGGAGGAAACCTAAAATGAACTAACTTTATTTACACTGGATAGCTCTATCACTTCTAAACTGTTCTCCCTAGAGATCCAGTAAGGATCATCTCTTATTGATCCAGTGTTACTACAGGAGGAAACCTAAACTAAACTAACTTTATTTATATTGGATAGTCTATCAGTTCTAAACTGTTCTTCCTAGAGGTCCAGTAAGGATCATCTCTTATTGATCCAGTGTTACTACAGGAGGAAACCTAAACTAAACTAACTTTATTTATATTGGATAGTCTATCAGTTCTAAACTGTAGAGGTCCAGTAAGGATCATCTCTTATTGATCCAGTGTTACTACAGGAGGAAACCTAGACTAAACTAACTTTATTTATACTGGATAGCTCTATCCGTTCTAAACTGTTCTTCCTAGAGGTCCAGTAAGGATCATCTCTTATTGATCCAGTGTTACCACAGGAGGAAACCTAAACTTAACTAACTTTATTTATACTGGATAGCTCTATCAGTTCTAAACTGTTCTCCCTAGAGGTCCAGTAAGGATCATCTCTTATTGATCCAGTGTTAAGTTTTATCAGTTCTAAACTATTCTCCCTAGAGATGCAGTAAGGGCCTAGCCTTTCAGTCAAACTGGAAGTACCTTCCTAACATATGGTTGATGTACAATATTTTAATCAGACAACTGAATACTGTAAGAAATGAATACCGGCTCACAGAGGCGAAAGATACACGCAGTATAAGCTATACATACAATTTTCTGACCAATCCTTACCTCAACAACTTCAAGGAGAGAGTTTGCTATCGTCTGTATTGACGTCATGTGTATATTCTCCGAGTCTCTTAAATTGATCATGTGTCTACCGCCGTGATATGAGGATTGAAACGCGCGGACTGGAGCAGACTTTACTTGAGAAATACCTGAACAAAAATACAATGATCTGGCTAGACATTACTTTCTCAAACTCATTCAAATAATTCTAAATTGCTATACAACAAATTTCTGCATGTACATGATAAGGTCAGAATGACTTACCGAAAAGTAGATAAAACTTGGGAAGCGAAAATTCTGACATACGTAATCTTAACAGACGTTTGGTTTCATCTGTAGAAAAAACAAAAAATCAACCTTAACTGCAGACAGATTGTGGGACGATACTTGGCTGGCCAAGCCCGATGTGAATATTGCATAGATATCTTATATACACTAGATAGTGCATCTAATTATTCTGCAATTCAAAAATTGAAGCCGTGATTGCAGACTCAGGATATTCCCATGAAATGAGAAAACTCGTATGATTTCTATTTCTTAAACAGGGAACTTAAACATTAAGTTAAACCTATTCCAAATACATTTTCAAACTATTCAAATGATGAAAGTTATTGTTGTTTTTTAAGCGTTTATTAGCGAGTGGGAAACTCCAACATGGCCGCCATCTGTTCAAATGGGGGTAACCGCTGGAATATTCATGGCTTCAATTTTACTAAAAGAGATGCGCTATCTAGTGTATATAAGATATATATGGAATATTGACAGTTTACAGCTTTAAATCCTTAGCAAAGTTTTACATAATGTTAACAAGACTACGTGTCAAAAATCATCTTCAGTACTCACTTGGTGTTATAGAGTAGAAAAAATCTGCATACGTCAGAACATACCTGGCAGTTCAAGTGATGTACATGTAGAGAGAGATTGGATAACATTGATTAAGATCCCATGAATAGTTGCTCTAAGGAACAGGGGACCCATGCATACCAAACTGATAATAATGTGGAACAAATACGGCAGATTGTTGGCAACTAAACATAATAACATAAAATACGGTCAAACATAATAACATAAAATACGGTTAATAGCTGACCTACACTGGACCACCATGTTTGAGATATCTTTTTCAGGTGGTTCATCAAACCACAGCAGCTTATTGTAGAAAACTATCTTACCGTCAAGTGAATCGTTAAAGGACAACATCAAAAGATATCTGTTCAATATTGCAATATCCTCCCACATCAAGTGTTCCTCAAGTCGAGGTTTTGGAGTTATAGAAGTCTTTCTTATCAACTGAAATTATGCAACACATAAACATCATTTATATTGCATAGCTCTATCAATTCTTTTCTATTCTCCCTAGAGGTCAAGTAAGAGTTATCTCTTATTGATCCAGTGTTACTACAGGAGGAAATTTAAACTAAACAATTTTCTTATACTGGATAGCTCTATCAGTTCTAAACTGTTCTCCCTAGAGATTCAGCTCCAGTGTTACTACAGGAGGAAACTGAAGTGCGTAGTAGGAAAAGTATGCGGTGTTTGGTAGAGTCTAACTGGAGGCACTCTTGCAGGAGGACTCGAAGCCTGGTGACAGAGGTGAAAGATGTATGTGACACCAACATGCTATTATCAGCGTGTGGGAAAATGGCAGTGGGAAATATACGAAGATAACTCACCATCAACAGTCTATTTATAAACTTGCTTGACACAACTTGTACGTTAGCTGTTGCCAAGGCAACGGACGTATCTGCCATTACTTCCGCTTTCACTGAACCCAGTCCACCTGCGGTACTCGCCTGTTGGAAAATTAATTAGATAATTAATCAATTACCTGACACTAATTAATAGACTAATTAATTGATTAATCAATGAAGACAATAAAAAAATCAACTGTTCCAACCACTTCAATCATTTAAAGTTTGTTCGTTCACTTCAATCATATCAAATAATAGTTTATCAAGATAGGATGCTCGAGTTAAGGTTACAGGACACCTTTGAGTGTTAAATTGGCCCAAATTTTTTTTATTGGCTTTCATAAAAGCTTTAGACCACTTCTAATATCTGACCAAGTTTGAAAGAAAAATGTTGAAAACTCGCGGAGTTATTTAATAAAATACATTTCTCTGCAATATAAACAACATTGAAAATGTAATATTCAAATTCAATTTTCTCGGGACTATTTTTGCGGTAATTACTGATTTTCAAGCCAGTTGTTCTCCTGTGCGTTGTAACCGATTGTTCTAAAATTTGCACAGCGCATAGCTGATGACTTCAGCATAAAAAAGGTGTTCGGCTTTGTTTTAATTTTGGATATTTAGTGAATTACGAGCAATTCAGTCAACATAATTTGAAATATATTGTAATAATCAAAGAAATCAATATATCAAACGAACGGCGAAAAAGCTAAACAAAGCCGAACACGTTTTTTTAAAACAACTATTTAGCTCTACAAAAATGTTATTTTCGAAAATATATCTTAAAACCGACAGGAGAACAACTTAAAGACGTGAAGGTACCGAGTTTTTTAATTTTCCGGAGTAATTCTTGGATTATTTTATTGGTTTGTCAATTTGACAACTTTATTATATTCTGCATGCCCTGGCAAACATTTGGTGAAAATTTGACAAAAATCGGACGCTTAATAAGCGCGTAGTAGCGATTCTCCGCGAAACGCCACAAAAGGTGTCCTGTAACCTTAAGAAAAGCGCGCAAAATCACTCGCCTTCGGCTCGTGTTTCCCGCGCTTTCCTCTCGCAACATTCACGCGTGTTTTGGATCAGGCCATCCAAACACGGAAACCATAAAGTAATTGTATAATGAATAAGCAATAATATAATATAATCCACTTACTTTAATAAAACTATCGAGAACAGTATCGACTAACTCGGTGACCTTGCCCATATTCCCCCAGATCTTTGCTTGAATAGAAGGATACATGGCCTGGATAACACAGATATGTATTCAAATTAAGTGTCGAAAAATTTTTTGATGCAAACGCCGCAGAGAAGACTTGAAATTGATGAAAATGTCGCTGCTTTGCGAACCTTGCAGTTTAGCTACTTTGTAATAAGATTAAAATATAATCAAGACGTTTTTAGCTGTTATAATTATATATATGCTTTATTGAGCTTTATTATTCACGGTAACATTGCTGTAATCCTATATATATTACTTAATCTGTACTTACCCCTTTTTCAGCGATCGTCAACTCAATTAAATCTTCAAGAATCGCGTTGACTTGTGCTAGTTTTGTGCCTTTAGTTGGTTCTTTACAGTAGCTTGAATGGAAAAACACATTATATAATAACTACAGTGAAACACGCAATTTGATTGGTCAATAGCCGTGCAGGATCAGGCTATCCTGCGCGAGGAATTAAAATGCCTTCGCGGGATTCTCAAAATGTCATTGTTTCACTGTAGTTATTTTATAAAACAATTACCAAATGGTTTTCCAAGCAGGATAGCGTGATCCATGCACTTGGGATGTTGCTGAACTTTCGGAAAGCGTAAAAATACACTCGCCTGCGGCTCGAGTATTTTTACGCTTTCCGAAAGTCTCGCGACATCCCTCGTGCATGGATCACGCAATCCTGCACGGAAAACCATTCGGTGTTCCTTTAATACTTCAACGACCGAACTTGTGGCATTGGGGGCCATTTATCTTGTATTCTTTTCTTATTTTTGTCATTGGTAATAAAATCCTTTCCTTGTTCGCATGGGCACAATTCAAAAGAAGCGAAATATTTCGACGACCCTTAGAGTTAAGCGAGTTAAAGGAGTTCTACTGAAGTATAAAATGCTCACCGAGACAAATTTGCCAACCAAGGCGCCATGTATTCTAGACATAAATGCTTCAATTCGTGATTTGATTTCTTGAAACCAGTTATACATTCTTGCAGAAACTAGAAGCAGAAGAAACACATTTTCAAACTGATCATGGATAAAAACTTGGAGATGGAGCAGTCCAGTGCATACCTCTAAGGTCAGATGTGGTTCCTTGTTCGCGAGGCTACTGCTTATACCAACAATGAATATAGTGTTGTTTGCAGGAATACACAGACCTAGGAAAACAAGAAATGAACTATACAACCATTCTGTATCAGAAACAGTCAATAGAGACGTTCAGATTTCACTTTCACTACCGCTAAGTCTCACTGGCTAAAACGCATCTGATTGACTAATGGTTAGATTAAACGCATCTGATTGGCTAATGGGTTAGATTAAACGCATCTGATTGGCTAAATGGGTTAGATTAAACACATCTGATTGGCTAATGGGGTAGATTAAACGCATCTGATTGGCTAATGGTTAGATTAAACACATCTGATTGGCTAAACCTGAACCTAAGTGCCATACCAGTTCCTTCAAACAATCGTTCCTCAATTTTGAAATGAAAAACAGCCGTGAGAGAGCAGAGCAAGTTATACGCCGCCAAGCGAAGACTTGGGTCTCTTGTGCCAAGATTGAGTAATGCCTGGAAGAAGAAAATAATGTTGATACTCTCCCGAGTTCCGTCTCCCAGTATACACAGTTTATGAGTAAACCATAGCTACTAGGACTAACCTAGTTTAGCATGCTCATATAAAACTCACCATGTTCAGCAGAGTTCCAGGTACATCTTTGGGAAGAATTTTCTTGATTGCAGCTGTTTGGTTCTTCAGGAAAATAGAAAACGCTCGTCTCAAGACTGGTGCTCAGATAACTAGATTACGCTAAGATAAACTCTACTAAAAAGTTGAATGAAGCTTACAGGTTGTGACATCTGCCAGCGTTTCTTCAAATGGGTGACAGCCTGGACAATCTGATCAGATTCGTTACTCATGTATAACACACTCGCTGACGTTTTAAACTTCAAGCCAAATAAATTATCATCTGGATTTTGAGAGAATACCTTCAAAGAAAAACACCAATTATCGCATTAATCATTCCTCTCGTGAGTTTGACCCAAATACTGCAGAATTTCTTCGCGTACTCCTCTTGTAGTAACACTGGATCAATTAGAGATGGCCCTAACTGATCCTCTATAGGAAGAACAGTTTAGAACTGATAGAGCTATCCAGTATAAATAAAGTTAGTTTAGTTTAGGTTTTCTCGTGTAGTAACACTGGATCAATAAGAGATGATCCTGACTGACCTTCTAGGAAGAATAGGTTAGTATACTAATAGAGTTATCCAGTATAAGTAAAGTTAGTTTGGCGTAATTCGGCCAAGTTTTGTTTCTTATCTTACATCTTCAATTTCATTCGGAAAGAAAATGTCTTTGATGTGAAAGCTGTAGCCCAAAACTTTATGTTTTTCTGATGTCTGAATCTGAATGCAGTTCGGTCCAATCTGAAATTAAGGAAAATATAACATTTAACTATATCATGGAAACAAAGCGCCGAGGTTAGCACTACTGACGTTTGAATCCTGCAATATGCAGTTGCGTGATTAAACTTTCGCCATAAACAGCGCAAGTTTTGGCTTGCTTCTCTGGTTTCCTCCCATCTTGAATTAACACTGGGTCAGTATGAGATGGCCCTTAATACTCGACCTGTACTAGGACGATAGTTGAACAACAAAAGGAAATATTTGAACAACATACCTTGATCAACACTGATACTCTGTAATGAACTTTGATGGCACTAAAAACCTGGAATTCATGATAAAAGGTAGTTGAAAACTTTTCATTTTACTGAACTATACTTTAGTGTTTCACTTTGTCTAACAGCAGACGACTTTACTAGTGACGGTTTACTCTATGACAAACGACTCGTCATATTTAAAAAAAAAAACACATTAAAAGTTTTCCTACGTTTAAATCTTTCTCCAAAGATGTAGTTGTACTTGGCAGTCTCAATTCCTCCTGTGCAATGTAGTCATTAAATTTGCTGATATTGTCAATCACAATTACCTCGCTATGATGCTAAAGAAAAGAATTAAGACAATTGCAAATTGAGTTTACATCCTTAGCATGCATGAGTTGTATTATTTCAAGATTCTAAAGTTTATGACTTCACGGCAACAAGGCATTCATGTAATCATGTATATTATCAGACATGTTTCGCTACTCTGCACGGTTCGCCGTTGATAATGCAGGAATCTTCAAACAAATTACGTTCACAACCCAACATTCCTGGTACCTAAATTCAACATGGTTTAATATATGCAGATATGCCTCGCTATTTTGGTTTGAATAAATGAATGCAATCCCTGAACGAGCCAACGTTTCAACACCCCAGTCTAGTGTCTTCATGCAACCAGGTTTAACGACTCTGGTTTAAGTAAATTAATGTAATCTCCAAACAAACTGAATTGGCGAACCAACGTTTTGACACGATTTCCGATTGTTACAGCATGATAGCATTCAACACCACAACTACCAAACAAAATAACATCTTTAAACTGACTTTACTACACCATAATGTCCTACCTTAAAATGTGAAAAGAACCTCTCATTAATTTTGATGAATTCCTTCAAAGCACTAGTCATATTATACACATAAACAGCTTGTAAACTGTTGATTGTACTGACGGGAAGAACGGATATGCATTTTGTTAACGACATTAACTGAAAATAAACAAAAAACATTAAAAATTAACAACTAAATGTACAAAACCTATTTAGTCATACATGCTATTAAAACAAACTTTCGGTAGATAAATAGATGGGTTTCACTAAACACTATCGTGCAGCAGAATGAGGTCCACCTGCAGTTATCAGAGTGAGAAAATGAATCGAGAAATGTTGCCTAATTTTCTTGATCCTGTGTCAACATTTTTAAAGTTGACCCACCCGCATTTAAGGAAGGAAAACAGGGCCTGATACTCAGGCTCAGCACGACCTTATCAGCTTTAGCTGTATCTTTAAATAAGTGCTTCCATCAATCAATCTGTTGCTCCGTCAAGCTTACTAAAACCATCAATGACTCTGTGACAATTTTTTTCAAAACCAAAACACTAACCTTCGTTTGATTCGAAGTTGCTGTCTGCGTGACGTCACAAACTAGTTCCCAGGCCAGACCAAATGAAGATTTGAGTGTCAACAACACGTGGTATATTAAACGTTCAGTACTGATTACATCACCTCTGAAAAGAATGGACGAAATATGAAGTGAATAAAAGTTGTTGACGTAATTTGACCTTCGCTCGTTATGTGGCGATCCTCTCAAAATGATAATACACGCTTTGGGAACAGGGAAAGCACATCAGTAGAGCCTCGTCACAGAATAAGTCATACAGAAGGCCGACTTCTTGGTTTTTCCTATGATTTTCCAATTATTTTGGCGAAACCGTAATTCGTCATCAAAATGTTGATGCCATGGTCCTAGCCAGTGCGCGTTTGAGAGGCATTCACCCCCCTGATAATATTCAAAATGGCGGACGTCTAGGGGGGAATGCCTCTCAAACGCGCACTGGCTAGGACCATGGCGTCAGCATTTTGATGATGAATCATGGCGTGGCAGCGGTTACTCGAGTCGACCTTCTGTGTGTCTTTAAAGATTCTGTGGCCTCGTTTTCGTGACGTTGGGCTTTAACTAAAATCACATACACCAAAGCGAGGCTCTATAGCCAAAGTGACGTAATTCCCGGAAGAGTGTATTACATACTGTGGCGACGACATAAAATCACATCACTCAGCAGGTGAAATTGTGTTTTTAAGAAGTCAACAAACCTCAATCGTCGAGGAATAAAATAAAATACAGGATTTCCATTCTTTGATCGACCTTCCTAAATAGACAGTTTAAGATATCAGTATTTTTGCATGCCATCTCGCTGTATAGGAAATAATTAGTCTTTTTGTCATAATCATTAATAATCAGCGCTGGATCAACGTTTCGCGGAGCCCGTGGCATATTATAGCCCCCCCCCCCAACGACATTTTATACACTGAATTCTGAAAGATTCAAAAACCTTTTGTATTTCGTGAATTAAAAAGTTGCCCGGATATACTTTTAATATTACCGGTATTATCATTGACTGTCTTCGGCATAACCATTCAACTTGGATGGTTATGCAGTTGACTGTCTTCGGCATAACCATTCAACTTGGATGGTTATGCCATTGACTGTCTTCGGCATAACCATTCAACTTGGATGGTTATGCCGTTGACTGTCTTCGGCATAACCATTCAACTTGAATGGTTATTCCGTCGACTGTCTTCGGCATAACCATTCAACTTGGATGGTTATGCCGTTGACTGTCTTCGGCATAACCATTCAACTTGGATGGTTATGCCGTTGACTGTCTTCGGCATAACCATTCAACTTGGATGGTGATGCCGTTGACTGTCTTCGGCATAACCATTCAACTTGGATGGTTATGCCGTTGAATGTCTTCAGCATAACCATTCAACTTGGATGGTTATGCCGTTGACTGTCTTCGGCATAACCATTCAACTTGGATGGCTATGCCGTTGACTGTCTTCGGGATAACCATTCAACTTGGATGGTTATGCCGTTGAATGTCTTCAGCATAACCATTCAACTTGGATGGTTATGCCGTTGACTGTCTTCGGCATAACCATTCAACTTGGATGGTTATGCCGTTGAATGTCTTCGGCATAACCATTCAACTTGGATGGTAAAAAATCTTACCTGATAAAAAATCTTCAGATTTCTAATTTCCTCGAGATCTCTATCTCCTGAGTCAGCATGCCGCGCCATGAACTCTTCAAAATCAGAAGAAGCTCCCTGAGTTGACCACCTGTAAGATAATTCAATCAATAAAACTATTAGCGGGTGTAGTGTCACAGCGGTCAGTGCATGTGTCTTTTAACTCTGCATGCATGTGACCAAGATACCATTTCCTCACGATTTCTTCAGATGAAAAATCCTGCCCATAAACTCCACAGTTTGTTACCAAGCACAGTTAGTCAAATAAGAGAAAGAGAGACGAGATTTAATGGGGATAAAATTTACAATATTAACTATAAACCGGAACATTTCAGAATACGTGACAACCTTGTAGCATTAACTTGAAAAAATGACAATGTTGTTACAACTTGTTGACAAGTTTGTTACAAACCCTATTGCGAACACATGTTGTTGACAAGTTGTGAGATTTTTATGTGCGTAGCACAACACTCACTTTTTTTGTACTTGTAGTCTCTGAGGATCTGGTGGGCCAAGGCGAGCTAACAACGTCGTCAGCTTCTCAAATATTCCACGACCGTAGATCTTGAACTCGCTGGAAAAATAGAATATTCAAATGATTTTCTCACAGTGATAATTGCCGTTTTACCAGCAACTGTGGCAAGATACTGATTAGTGAAACAATCATGGATGATCCCAGCTGCAGACGAAATATTGATCTCAACAAGAACGAAATCCATTACCTGGAAAGAGTATCTTAAAATGAGTAAAATTGCAAAGTTTGGTTGGGAATTGTTGTAAAATGAGGAAAATATAGCCCTGTGAAATTCGCAAATTTTGTATATATTTGCATTGCGCGCGGGAAAAATAATAATTTTTGAGCCGAAAGTGGTTATTTTTACCGCGCGGAATACAAATATATACAACATTTGCAAACTTCACAGGGCTATATTTTCTTCATTTTACAACATTTAGCAATCAATCTTTGCAGTTTTACTCATTCTAAGACGCTCTTTCTAGCTGTGATGTTGAATTTCGTTGTTCTTGCCTTGATCAAAATTTAGTCTATAGCTCAAATCAACCATTCCATCTACAATTCTCACCCCCTTGCAGCCATATATAACCCAATCTTCTCCTGGCTGTTCCACAACATGCGATGAAGGGAGAGAATGTTTGCATCACTCACGAATGAATACACATCCCGGTTTTCGCCTTTGAGAGATGGACGATGTAAGGAGATCTTCTCAAAATACCTAGAGATTGATAACATTGGTGTACTAAACGTTTCTAACTCGCCTGATGAACAGCCTTCAAAGTGTTTTAATTGTTGTCAGGTATTATACATCTTTTTCAGGTAGTTCAGACACAAACCACGACAGCTTATTGTAGAATACTACCTACACTGGACCACCACGTTTGAGATATCTTTTTCAGGTAGTTCAGACACAAACCACGACAGCTTATTGTAGAATACTACCTACACTGGACCACCACGTTTGAGATATCTTTTTCAGGTAGTTCAGATACAAACCACGACAGCTTATTGTAGAATACTACCTACACTGGACCACCACGTTTGAGATATCTTTTTCAGGTAGTTCAGACACAAACCACGGCAGCTTATTGTAGAATACTACCTACACTGGACCACCACGTTTGAGATATCTTTTTCAGGTAGTTCAGATACAAACCACGACAGCTTATTGTAGAATACTATACCTACACTGGACCATCACGTTTGAGATATCTTTTTCAGGTAGTTCAAGCACAGACCACGACAGCTTATTGTAGAATACTACCTACACTGGACCACCCGTTTGAAATATCTTTTTCAGGTAGTTCAGATACAAACCACGACAGCTTATTGTAGAATACTATACCTACACTGGACCACCACGTTTGAGATATCTTTTTCAGGTAGTTCAGATACAAACCACGACAGCTTATTGTAGAATACTACCTACACTGGACCACCACGTTTGAGATAACTTTTTCAGGTAGTTCAGACACAAACCACGACAGCTTATTGTAGAATACTACCTACACTGGACCACCAATGTTTAAGATATCTTTTTCAGGTAGTTCAGACACAAACCACGACAGCTTATTGTAGAATACTACCAATGTTTAAGGACACACTTACTGTTGAGTTTTGGTGAGGTTTTCTTTTAAAAATCCATTCAAAGGTTCCATATGTTTTTCTTTCGTAAACAACACGTTGTTGGCCAGACTTTGAAGAATCTGAAAAACAGAAAAAAATTTGAAATATCGTTAAAAAATTACCTGTCCGGTCTGGTTATGGTAAAGATTCTGTCTTTCATAATTTTACCTTGGAGAGAAACATCAGACCTCGTCGTATGTTTTCCGGGGGAGGATGTTCGATAATTCCAAGCATTTGAGGGGAATCTAAAAATTCGAAATTTCAACTCGTATTTTGCACTAAAAATGAACAATGGCCTGGAGATGTAATTCGTGATAACATACAGATTTCATGAAGTCAAAACCTTACTTATAGCAGGGTTGATGAAACGCAGAAATATAGCGCTACCAACAGCCTCAGCTTTGTGTTGACGAAATCTTTGGCTAACAACCTGGAATAAGAGAAGACTCAGAAAATGCTTTTACATGAAGTATTTAGATTGTACAAACGAAGGGCGGCCTTCATTTCAAACATCATTCATTATGACCTTCTCTAGGTGCTAACAAAGTTCATAGTACATAGTGCTATAGAGTTTGTACCTTTTTCAAACAGTAACAAAGTAATTTTAATGCACTTGGGAAACTAGAAACGGAAAAGATGAAAATAAATATAAACAATGTAACAAAAATACAAACTATAATCAAATTAACTTCAAGACTTACTCGTCAAGTGATGCAAAAAACCGATTTAAAAATTTCTCCGCCAAATTTATCACATTCTGCGTATTCTCTTCCAGATTCTCTCCCTCTTCCAACCTATATATTAAAAAAGTTCAACAAAAAAAACATAAAACACCTTACCATATTAAACTTTTTAAAGCGGGAATTTATATTGATATGACCAAATGCGCTTTATACATCAAGTATTTCGCTTACCTAATTACACGCTTAGCTTAGACTATTTTATCTCTTACAACAATTGTGATATTATAATACTATTGTTTGTGGAAACACCACGTAAATTATTTACGTGGTGTTTCCACAAACAATATTATTATATGTTTTATCGCCATGTAAACATACAAAGAACTTAATTGTGATATTGCTTTCTTTACTGTGTTTATCCTAACCCACCCTGTCAACTTTCCCTGTGGGAGGAAACCTGAGCACCCAGAGAAAACACACGACTTTCGGCAGAGCATTGCCTGACTCTTTCCACATGAGTCCGTAGCGAGAATCAAACCCACGATCTCAGAGGTGAAAACGCTTGTTGAGACGAGTACGGCACCGTATATATGAAGCAAAAAGCATAATAATAAAACGCTGACCTGCTAGGATCAAGTTCAAAAGTCGTATTAAGATTTTCTTGTTTCAGTAAAGGTTTTATCAAAGGTCCCAGCAGATAATGAATGTAGTTCGAGCCGTAGATCTTGAAGCAGAAAGTTGTGACTTTGGTTGCCAACGTGTTGCCACGGAACAAGACGTGAAACCCTTCGCAATTCCGCACCTACAACATGGAAATGATTTGCTCTTTAGATATATGCATGCAGAGTTTAAAATTAAAGTACTATACAGGGCGTCCCGAAAAAAGTATACCTTTTGAAATCAAGCCTTGGTTGGAATTTGAATACCTTATTACTATGCTAAACTCACTGGTGCGTATAAACACAATACACTCTTTCGATAATTACAACTACACTGTTTTCAACTTAGGACCACCTTAAATGGAAAGGATTTCAAGTTTTTTTTCTCATGGGCTATGCACAGAGAAGCAGAACATCCTTCTTCAACACGTGCATGAAAAAAAATTTTGGATTTTGATCAGTAAATGTGGAAGCATTAACACGAAAACGAGGCTCCAGGTCATGACCTGGAGCCTCGTTTTCGTGTTAAAGCTTATTTCCAAATGACAATAAAGAATTATTTCGTGCATGTGTTGACGAAGGATGTTCTTGCTTCTCTGTGCATAGCCCATGAGAAAAAAACAACTTGAAATCCTTTCCATTTAAGGTGGTCCTAAGTTGAAAACAGTGTAGTTGTGATGTAATTATCGAAAGAGTGTATTGAATGCATGATTTAACACAATAAAAACTCTTTGCTCTGTGGTTATTTAACCATTTTTGCTCGAGCTGACGGTGTGACTGATCAGTAATTTGACCATTTTTGGGTCACTCTCATTTTATAATATTAGAATTCTCGGCCAGATATAAAACACTCCGGCTGTCGCCTCGTGCATTATATCTGATAAAGCATCCCTGCTCGTGTTTCAAATAGTACTTCCACAACATGGCCGCTGTGTATACTGTATTCCAAACTTTACCTCTTGAGAGAGTATGTTCCACAAGAACTGGTACAAGAGACTCACAGCATCAAATAAAGTTACCAAAACTTGAGCCAGATCATCTTGTTCATTTGAAGGGACAACATTGGCCAACGCGACAGCCAATAGGAGCTCGCCTTTCTCACCCATTGTCGCCATCAGGTTCGCTAGTTGTTCATAACGGTCTCTGGTCGCTGTTTCTGCTAACGTATCAAACTCAGTGCCCTGATTAAGGATCTTCATTAGAACTTCCATGAAAATAGCCCTGGTTGCCAAGTCAACATGATATCCAAGTCCTGGAAAGAAATGATTGGAATTGGGCAATAGGGGATATACCTTACTGGACATTCGTCTTTATATAGACGGCAAATCGCTATACTGTATATAAACAGGATATCAGACCCTGAAGGAGTCACACCCCGAGGGTATCACTTTTCAGACCCTGTATTGTAAAAGCTCACTCACACTCACACAGTAAGGTACGACACTAACCCTCCAGCTATTCAAAAACAGCATTGACACTCAAGAGAAGCTCAGATTGAACCTGATAGAGCTATTAAACCACCTAGACCTTCTTCATAATAAAAGCTGCTTACCAATGGCATGAGTTAGTCCAGCATCAATATTTGCGCTGAGCAAGTTGGACATGGCGGCAACTGTACATTGATGCAAATTATCATGATATGTTAGTACGCTCTTCTGCCGTTTCTTTTCGATGGTGTCATTCCCGTCCTCCTCGCCTACACATCTACTCAGCAAGTTGAGAAACAATGTAAAATATCTGAAAAATAAGAAGAAGATATTGTAGGTTTTTTTTTCAAAACACAAAAGAAACAAGCGCCATAATAAAATAACTGAACTTTCTGAATTCAATTTCTCTTTAAATGCTGGTTAGGGGAAGATATATCACACACCCGAGAAGTCTGTTCATTGCGATTTTAAAATATCTCAAAGTGTGTGAACAACTTGTTCACAGAGCCGTACGCAGTGGAGGCAAGGGCCCAACCCAACCCAACCCAACCCAACCCAACCCAACCCAACCCAACCCAACCCAACCCCGAGAGAACGTATTGATGTTATATTATGTTATTATAAATTATTAAGCCAAATGGCGCTATAATATTGTGAATCAAAATTAACGTGAGTTATACAATGACATTTGGGTACTTATTTCAGCACATAGACATTAATGCCCCCCCCCCCCTGGTGAAAAAAATCATGAACTTGTTTCAAAATGTTAATTGTGAAACAACACAAAAGAAATCATGGTGATTTACATAAACTTTCATTCATTCACACAAAATATCATTCATTTATTATAAATTTTTGTAAGAATACGAATGTTCTCATCAAGAAGTTTCACTCGCCTTCGGCTCGAGTTTGTATATCCGATACAACGCTCATGTTGTAACTATACTTAAACACTCACTTGAGAAACAATTCTGATTTTGCCTCCATGATGTCGACATCCGTGGCTTCAGGTTGCAAAGGCAGCACTGATAACAACTGTGCAATTGCTTTCATAGCACATTCATCTAAATATCTAAATAATCAATTATCCGCTCAGTTAATCAATACTCCATATCACTTCCAATCAATCAATCAATCAATCAATCAATCAATCAATCAGAATCATACCGTGAATTGACTGTAATTTCATATGGCAGTTCACTTTCCTCATTCGAAGCGTGCGCAACCCAATCTGATAGATATTCGACTAATTTATTACGAAATTTAATTTCTTGAAAAAATAATACTTCATCACGATGGCTCATGAGCTGAAACAAAAAAGGAATTCATTCAGTCCCGGGGTGCTACCAGACCAAATCAACTAACATATGTTTATACCTGTTGCTATTCTATTCACATTTAGTCAGATAACTCACATACCTAGTTACCACTGTTCTGATAATGTAAGCATAGAATGGAACAAAGGTAACCAAGTGTTTAAATTATATATGTGAGTGAATTGGGTGGGATAACTCACATATACGAACGAATTGTAAACATACAGGCTATACATTCAGCAGTAAACAGACAGTAATTTCGACATTTCTAAGTCAATGTACAGAGGTCAATGCAATTAATCAATCCTAGTCATTAAATTGAAAGTAAAACATTATGCATATAAACACAAAATACCTTCCCTTCCTAAATATATTAAAAACACCGACTGTTCTGATAATGTAAGCATAGAATGGAATAAAGGTGACCAAGCATTATATATGGGGCTACATATTCTTATGAATTTGAGACCAGAAAGAAATGAACTTACCGTAACGACTAATTGACAAATTCTTGATTTAATAATTAACGAACGAGACGTGAACGGTAAATTTCGAGTGTATCTAAAAATTAATGAAATAATTTAACAGGACGTTTCTCTATTTCACCTGGAGCCGCGCGCGACTTTCAGAGGCCCTGGGATATACGGAAGCGCATGTTCTTGAATTGGGACGCTTTAGCACCCGTAACAATTTTCACAGAGAAGTATTACGAAGAAACGAAGTACTTGTGTTGACATATTTTGATAGAAAATTTTTCCTAGCGAAAATTGCTCAACTTCTGCGAAATAGCAGTTCTCTGAGAAGCCAATCAGATCTCTCCCTTTAGTCGTCTAACCCTGAGCCTAAATTTCAACGAGTGACCGAGTGAAAATGGCTCTGGGGACGAGATTGCTATGTTTGATTTTTGCAATATGAAGGGTGTCTCATTATAATTTCACCTCAGTCACATGTGAGAAGAGTGCTTCCAGTTTGACTCTACCAAACACCACAGGTTTTCCCCAGGTATATATACCGGTTTTCTCCTGGGGATAACACTCACTGGACCTCTAGGGAAAACAGTTTAAAACTGACAGAGCTATCCGGTATAAAGAATATTGGATCAAACAGTATACGTAAAAAATTCAAACCTTATAATTGAGATGATAATGGGTTCAATGATTTCCATTTTGAAACATTCTACAGGAACGTCGTTTTTGTTTTCCAAAATGTGTTTCATGATTGCAATGACCTTCAAAAAATACGGTGTTAGGATTAAACATGAGTTTGTAAGAAAATAAATGCTGAAAAGAGAATTAGCACCCATGTTTAAGAGGCAACGTGGTCATTTAGGAATTGCATGAATCACCGGGTATTTTTGTTAAATACAAACGAAAACGGTAATCCTTTTCAAAATTGTTTAATTTATTATTTAATGTTAATGAGCAATATTGTTTTGTATTTGGTCATAGGGTGTAGGGGTCTATAGAGTTATAATTTTATTTGTTCATTTGAATGGGCTGCATCCAAAATATCTTAAAAGTTTTGAAAATTATAATTATAAAGTAAAGTGTCTCTGTGTTTTGTTTCTTTGATGAATACGCATCATGTTAGCGTCCTGAGGATGCCATCGACACGAAATTTTATATAGAAAAACGTTTTGGCAAGCAACAATAGACCTTATCCATCGTCACAAGGCTTAATGCCCGCGAGGAATGTTGGTCTTAGTAGCCATTGCCCATAGAGAAAATTTCGATAGTGGCCATTTTGAATTGTTTAATTTTCCCGGGGGATGACTACTAAGACCAGCATTCCTTGCGGGCATCAAGCCTTGTGACGTCATTATGGATAAGGTCTATTAACACAATATTTTTGGGAGAACCTGATTTGCTACTTTTCAAATAATTTGCTGGGATTTTATATATCTAAATTATGAAATTTACCTGATCGACAAAACAACTGTTCACGTCTTGAACAACAGCCTAAACAGTTCAAAACAGCTTAGTATGTATGCATGCATGCATATCAAATTTCGATTTAAATGCAAGGTGGTAGAGCAAAGTGAACGAGTCCATGATATGGTCATCACTAGACTTACTTGACCTCCAGATGAGAAAAATCCTTCTAGATTACGGCGAATTTCCTTAAACAACATACTGTACAATGCAGAACTCAGCTCTTGGCCAATGAGATCTTTGATAATCAGTCGTATCTGGAAATAACATTTTAAGGACTAAGGAACCTCTGGAAAGACCTCTTAAGACCGCACAGAAGTATGCCATATAAAAGTTCAGAATTTTTAAACAAACCTTGGGCCCAACATGTTCGTTTGGACATACACTAAGCTTTAATAATTCGCCAATAAATCTAAAAAAAAAGTTTTGTATATTGTAAGAACTGGTTTCAATCGTTACCTGGAACATTCACAAAGTAATTTCATTTTTAATCAAGTCATTTTTTCGTTCGTATAAACTAACCCTTTGACCGTTTCAATTTCCTCAGGCTGTGAAAAGGACGGTAAGCGTGCCAGTTTACCAGTGCTTGACCTTGATCTGCTTATACGACGACTAAAAATAACATTAAAATAGTCTGCTTCAAGCTTGATAGGCAGAAAATGTCAAACGAATTTAAACTTCAGATGTACCTAGCGTTATTATAGGGTTATAATTCAAATAGAAATTATATTGTGTTAAAATCAATATATGTTTCTTTTATAACACAATTTGAATTCGAATAACATAATTTGAAATCGAATAACACAATTTGTTCTGGCTTTTGAAAAAGTAGTTGTTGCATTTGAAAACTCAGTTTGGCATTTGAAAAGGGAGTTCTGGTATTTGAAAACTGAGTTTTGGCATTTGAAAAAGGAGTTCTGGCATTTCAAAACGGAGTTTTAGCATTTGAAAACGGAGTTCTGGCATTTCAAAAACGGTAGATCTGGCATTTGAAAAGATAGTTTGGGCATTTGAAAAGGGAGTTCTGGCATTTGAAAATGGATTTCTGGCATTTGAAAAGAGAGTTCTGGCATTTGAAAAGGGAGTTCTGGCATTTGAAAAGAGAGTTCTGGCATTTGAAAAGAGAGTTCTGGCATTTGAAAAGGGAGTTCTTGCATTTGAAAAGGGAGTTCTGGCATTTGAAAAGAGAGTTCTGGCATTTGAAAAGGGAGTTCTGGCATTTGATCTCAAATTGTGTTATTCGATTTCAAGTTGTGTTATTCGATTTCAAATTGTGTTATTCAAATAAAAGAAACATAATTATATTGAGTGTTAGCACAATAGAATTTCTATTTGAATCATGAGCCTAATATACAGAAATGTAAACTACGAAGGCCGGAATGCGGTATCCACTGCATGAATAATGAATTTTTCAAACTTTCTAAAATTGTCACATTTAAACTTTACTCCATATAAATTGACGTTTCCTTTTAGTTAATTGTCAGGTCCATGTCCGCACTTTAATAGCTTTTCAAGCATTTTACAACGGTTGAAAAAATCACTATCCATGCAGACTTCGTACAACCGACCGCAGTAGTTTAGTCTTTAGTAATCTTTACCTCATTTGAGGATGTTCCTTAAAACAAACAGCACCAAGGGAACATAAAAATCCTGTCATGTAGTTCCACTCATTAATGTAACCCTAAAATGTTAGAAATGAAAGTTTATCAGAATTAGCACTCGTTTCTAGTACGGACTTCTATAGTTGAAAGCAGCCACGAGCCAGCTGCAAGTGTTAGCATGTGTCAATGTAGTGATTTAAATTAAGTTCAGTTTATGAGTCAAATCCAGTGACGTAATTATCAGAGTAAAAGTTGAAGACGACGAACGTTTACTATAGTTAAGGTCAGTAGCGTAACGCTCATTGGGTTAGGGGTAGTTCAACAACTAAGGGCCCCCGACAGTTTGGGGCCCCCATCAGCCACGGCCTATCGACCAGAAAATTAGAAAACTTAAAAACGCAGGTTAAAGAATCGATGGGAAAATGCAAAATTATAATAATGCTAAATAATAAAGCCTCCATCGACAACTGTAGCTGATTTTTTTATTCCATCTCAAATAAAACAAAAGTTATTTTTATATATTCAATATAAATATAATATCTCAGTCAAACAATGGTCCCCCACACCAAATATGACTACGGGCCCCTTCTTCCCCCGTTACGACACTGGTTAATATATAATAGTGCAGATATAGACTGTGTTAGAGAACAATTCAATTCAATTTATTTCACTATTTACAGGATTTTTCTCAAGTACGTAATATTACAAAAGTAGAAGAAAATTATAAAATTTTAATGAGTACTTTAAAAAAAAGATAGTGAACGGCAACCAGAGGAGCCGAAGCTTTCAAGAGTTCAGAGATGGTATAGAGAGTTGATGTTAGAGAGTTCAGGTTACGCTCTTGAAAAGTATAAACATCAACGACGAAGTCAGATCAAGATTGAAGTCTGAAGTGTGATATATAATCTATATAACCAATAAAGTTTGTATAGCTATAATAAATAAAGTTCTGGAGCACACCGTTGTGTATGTATTGGTGACCCAATTTGGCAAAAAGTAACCTGTATGAGATAACACCAGGATGCGTTCACTTACTTCAATGCTTTCTGCAGAGATCTTTCCAGATTGACTAAATCTCGTAGTCCGTCTTCGGATACTCTTCGAAGATTGAGCAGGTTCTCCTGGGATTTCTTCTTTAGGAAAGTTAATAAGAGCATGCGTGAGTTTCCTCCAGCGAGAATACGTACTGTCCCACGCCTGTTTATTGCCAGATGTTTGAACTTTAACATTCCGTAGAATTGCCATGATTCGTTTTTGAAGAGCAAGGCGACCTTAACATAAAATACGAAACATTTTACCTTACGTTTTGGTATGATAGAGCTTACCCAGTATGCACTATAAGCGTGCTTATGAGGATACATTATTTTGGTATCTCTAAGCACGTCCATTTTGGAGTGCTTATGAGAATGCCATGCATATTCTGGTGTCTCATAAGCACGCTCGTATATGCATATATAAGCGTGCTTATGAGGATACCTTATTTTGGTATCTCTAAGCACGTCCATTTTGGCGTGCTTATGAGAATGCCATATTCTGGTGTCTCATAAGCACGCTCGTATATCATATATAAGCGTGCTTATAAGGATACCTTATTATGGTGTCTCCTAAGCACATCCATTTTGGCGTGCTTATGAGAATGCCATATTCTGGTGTCTTATAAGCACGTTCGTATATCATATATAAGCGTGCTTATGAGGATACCTTACTTTGGTGTCTTATAAGCACGTCCATTTTGGCGTGCTTATGAGAATGCCATATTCTGGTGTCTAATAAGCACGTTCGTATATCATATATAAGCGTGCTGATGAGGATACTTATTTTGGTATCTTATAAGCACGTCCATTTTGGAGTGCTTATGAGAATGCTATATTCTGGTGTCTCATAAGCACGCTCGTATATGCATATATAAGCGTGCTTATAAGGATACCTTATTTTGGTATCTCATAAGGACGTCCATTTTGGCTTGCTTATGAGAATGCCATATTCTGGTGTCTCAAAAGCACGCTCGTATATCATATATAAGCGTGCTTATGAGGATACCTTATTTTGGTATCTCATAAGCACGTCCATTTTGGCGTGCTTATGAGAATGCCATATTCTGGTGTCTCATAAGCACGCTCGTATATGCATATATAAGCGTGCTTATGAGGATACCTTATTTTGGTATCTCTAAGCACGTCCATTTTGGCGTGCTTATGAGAATGCCATATTCTGGTGTCTCATAAGCACGCTCGTATATCATATATAAGCGTGCTTATGAGGATACCTTATTTTGGGTATTTTGACATGCATGAGTACAAGCCGTATGCAAATTATCCTTATCCGTATTTTGTTATAGATTCCACTACGCTTACCCGTTATCCGGATTCTTGAGTCAACTAAAGCTGAGCTTGTCTTAGAAAATTTCGACCAAAGTTTGACTTAGAAAACTTCGAGCTGATCGAAAACATTTTTTCGTCATAGACCGACTTAGAAATGTTCAAAACGCATATTGATGCAGAAAGTTTTGGCTCAGGAGAATTTTAAAGCACATTTTGACATTTACAGAGTCTAAAAATGTTACACTTCTACCTGTAGAAATTCCATTAGCAAGATTAGCGAGCTCCTCATAGACAGCAAATATTGAGGTCATGAGATTCAATTGTGCGATGTTATCCATGCTATGATGCGAGATAATATTGATCTCAGTGCACAGAAACTTTAAAGATGAGAGCGCGGTCAATATGGCGTCCGCATCAGGATTCCATAAATACTGTAAAAATACTTCCTAGAAATAAAAGGGGGAAGATTTAGAGTGGATATGGATATAGTTGTAGCTAGGTTTCACTAAGCACTATCGTGCAGCAGATGCTGGTCAACCTAATCACCCCACATAATAATGGTCCTTTTTATTATAGGGCCAAAAAAATATGTGGGTTTCCGGTTTCCCGACCCTACCTAGCTTTTGGACGCCGAAATCCCGACCCTAAACTTTTTTATTGGATCATGTGTTTCCACTTAGAGGAAAATGTTTGTGAAAAATGGAAATTTGAGGCAATATTAGGGAAATTTATCTTTGAATGTGGAAGCACTGACTAAACAAAATGGCGTCCGGTTGTTAGGAAAATTTAAAAAAAGTTCAAAATAAAAGTTAAATCCGACCTACCCTAACTAAGTTTTTACAAGAAGAAATAGGAAACCACATATTTTTTTTGGCCTAGGTAATAGACGTGTTTTTTGGTGGTAAATAAATAGAATTGTGTATGATTTTGTCTTCTGTAATTTTCTTGTTCCTGGTACGCGATGCTTAATCAAATAGAGGATAATCATTTGTATCAACAACAACAGGAAGTACCTCGAGTTTTACCCTCGCGGACGAAGAGACCAAAGAGTTGCAGGAAAAATTTTGATCATCCTGAAAAAGTGAAATAATCCTTCATCTTATATCTCAGCTGCAAGTAATGATTATAAGTAGACCTTCACGTACTTACTCACCCAGTTCAAATAAAAATATATACAGACAACCTGCTAACCTTATTTTGCTCAATGAACTCATCTCTACAAGCCATTAACTTCTTCATGTATTTTAACAACCATAAATCTTTGGAGCCATGATTCACCAGAGAATCTCCGATCAAATGAACACATTCCGAACTACAAAATTATATCAAAGAATACTATTCAATCCACACTCCTAGAATCTGACTGAAGACCTAGAATCTGACTGAAGACCTAGAATCTGACTGAGGACCTAGGATCTGACTGAAGACCTAGAATCTGACTGAAGACCTAGGATCTGACTGAAGACCTAGGATCTGACTGAAGACCTAGGATCTGACTGAAGACCTAGGATCTGACTGAAGACCTAGGATCTGACTGAAGACCTAGAATCTGACTGAAGACCTAGAATCTGACTGAAGACCTAGAATCTGACTGAAGACCTAGAATCTGACTGAAGACCTAGAATCTGACCGAAGACCTAGGATCTGACTGAAGACCTAGGATCTGACTGAAGATCTAGAATCTGACTGAAGACCTAGAATCTGACTGAAGACCTAGAATCTGACTGAAGATCTAGGATCTGACTGAAGACCTACAATCCTGGACAAAACATCTGCGACACTTCCAATTATACTTGACAAAATATCGTAATGTTATCGTAAATTTAGAAAACCTCCCCCTTTCCCCCACCATTCAATGTTGATTGGATTCGTAGAATACGGATAAAACGTTCAACATTGTTTTGGGGGGCGGAGGGGGGCAAACGAGTAAATTATTACGGTCTAACTGGTAAAAAAAGCCACAAAGGAATGTTTTAATAGAGTGTCGCAGATGGTTTTGTCCAGGATTGTCCGTATCTTTCAAATTCAATAACCAAGGCATTGCGCATTAAAAATTGTGTTTTATGCAGGACTTTCTCTTCCCGTAGTAACTATGGCTCACTATAATGCATTAGGCTTCAAGAAGCAAATACCACATGGTCAACAAGGTAATATAATACCCTCATGCAACGCTATGCTTCGATAGCTTGTATAGAATGCGATTAAGAATCATATGCGACTACTTTCGCGCATTTAATATACGTCGGAGAGCAAGTCAATGTACCTCATAGTGTATACACCAACTATTTTGCACTAAGAATATTCTAAAATGCATTTATCCATACTTATTTGTGTTGTTAGACAGACTAACGCTTCGCTGTTGAGTGGAAATATATTGCGTGACCGCCGCACTAAATGACTAATCTGATTTTGTTATTGTCGTATAATGGCGCATGCGCATTGACGGTGTACCATGGTACAGCGTGAACATATAAGAATATATATATATATAACCTTTTGTAGGGTGAAAATGGTACACCGTGGAGTATTTTAAAATTATCGCGCTATATATTGTCCGAAGTAGGTTGGAATACTAAGCAACACACGTTCTTTCAAGTCCATGTCATTGGTTTGTATTATATCCCATAACTGAGGATATTATCACAGTCTTAGCGTATTGGTCAGTGGTGCACCGTTAGGTATGACATTGGGAAAATATGAGCATTGATTTACCACACCAGGAAAACTCTGTGTCAAAATGCATAATTCACAATTATATAGTTGTCGCTTAATATTCTAAATATATGCAGTAAATACCAGAAACGCGGTAAATACCAGAAACGCGGTAACTATATTGAATTTATTGTCCTTTAGTTCTACTGGATACCACACGCATTCGTCTATGTACGTATAGACTGAATGTATAACCTATCAATATATAAGTTACACGAACTCTCATGGAAATATATTTTTTGTGTCGTACATTGCATCTCATTCACTGATCGTTTGCATGTCCGTCTAGGCACCTTCTCATATGGTCGACTATAGGTTGTCTATTGTGTCTTGCAGGTCTTATATATATATACAGTTAACAAATATGACTCGTATATATTTCTTAATTTCTGAATTATTGCAACGAATCGACTAGAACGCGATAGTTTTACTTTCTCAATTATTTCCGCAACATTTCGTTGCTTTTAATTGCTAAAATTATAAATAATATACTGTATTGTATATTCTACCACACATTATTACCCACTCCAAAACACTAAGGTATTCATGACGTATTTAATTAATGAAATAAGGTACTTGATGTAATTATGAATATAAGTAGGTCATGAGCAATGCGCATAAACAAAATACATGGCAAGGACATGTATAACAAGCGAAATATAAAAGAATGTAATTTCAACTCGTTTCAGACAATCCTGGACAAAACATCTGCGACACTTCCAATTATACTGGACAAAATATCGTAAATTTAGAAAACCTCCCCCTTTCCCCCACCATTCAATGTTGATTGGATTCGTAGAATACGGATAAAACGTTCAACATTGTTTTGGGGGGCGGAGGGGGGCAAACGAGTAAATTATTCCGGTCTAACTGGTAAAAAAAGCCACAAAGGAATGTTTTAATAGAGTGTCGCAGATGGTTTTGTCCAGGATTGTAGGTATCATGAAAGAAAAGCTTGCTTCAAGCAAAACAAAAAAGCTCTTTTAAGAGCTGCCACTTAATAAAAGAATATAACGATACCTTGATAACACCATGATCATTGCACACAGTTCATAAAAAATGGCAAATGTTCAGTATGTCATATTTTATTCATTATACTTTATATATACCAAATATTTCAAAGCTATAGCTGTTCATTCCCACTAACCCCTGCAGAATAAAGAACCTAGTCTGAGTCATCAGAATATCCAGTAAACTGTCCTTCCTTTTCCATGATGGGAAATGTATTTCTTATTGCAATGTAGGCACATGCAGGTAGTGGGATTCTTCTGTTGCCAAGAAGTCCATATATTAGTCTTGTGAACTCTCTATATGAGATACTGCGTAGAAAGCTAAAACAAAATAAATGGCAGTTCATGATTTGTTACCATGTGAACCAGGCTAAGAAGTTGCCTGCATTTACAAAAGTATAAATTGATATTTTCTATCTTTGTATTTAGCAAATCATTATCTACCTATACATATAGTAGAGGTGTGCATCGGATCGGATTGGACGGTTATAATCCGACAATTGCCTATGTTTAAAATCTGATCCGATCCGAAATTGTCTAATCCAAATCCGATCCGAGTTTCGATCCAATCCGAAGAATTCTTTAATAAAATAAATTTCTCATTCAAGTTGAAATATTTAACCAAATAAATATAAAAGCAAGAAATACATGTCAAGAAGCTGACAAAGTGACGTCCAATTAAAGTATCAAACGAATAATGCATTAGATAATTAATTCATTTTATTTCGGATTTCGAAGTCCGATCCCGACTACGAAACAATTTTATCGATCCGAAATGAATATTTTGGTTCCGAAATACGAACGGATCGGATTCAGATTTGCACACCTCTGATATATAGTAATGTATTGAGAGGCTAATTCTAATGCACCTATCACTGTTTTCCCCCTGGGGGGGGGGGTGCAGGCGACCTAGGGGACTTTGACGACACTATGAAGCCCTAGTGAGGGGAATTTGACCTATGCATCAACTCCCAGAGTTGGGAAATTTCTGCCATCTGCCATCTTGAAAGTTTGCACAGTTTTGACATTGAAAGGCCTGGTAACAAGTATGGCGGAGAAGCACAATCAAGTTTCATCGAAAAAGGTATTTTATAGCCTTTTATACACAGTGTCTCAATTTTTACCAAGTTTAAACCAGTATAGGCCTGTATGTTTGCATTGGAAAACATATATGTGCCTTGTTATCTTGGAAATATAGTGGGGAATTTTGACGGCCGTTTCTTGCCCAAAAGCGGGGATGCCCTGGGTTGCCCGCACCCCCCCCCGGGGGAAAACATTGATAGGTGCATAAATAAACAAGTCAAGAGGTAAAACTTTGGCAACAAAGAAAAATTTTAATAACATAATTGAATAAATTGTCTAACCTATTCTCTGTTGACGTTTGACTGTATTTGCTTTTATCTTTGGTTTTATATCTGTCAGCAGCCATCTTCAAACTCCACTTTTGAAGGCATACAGGGTTGAATCCTGGGTGTTGTGTTACACACTTCGCATTTTGCACGCCTTCGGCTTTGAGATCCTGTATAACTTCTTCGCGATTCATAGCTTCCTCGCATCCTTCCAGTTCAAAACAACAATGACATTCACTATTATTTGTTAGTAAGGTTATGTCACAATTCCCACAATTGCACCTGTGATAAAAAAGGAGAAAAACATTCGAAGTTTATAGATAGAAATCAAAAAATTTCCACACATATATTCGATATTAATAATCCGAAACAAACACGAATTTTATCGATGTTTACCAAGTACTTACCACTCGCTCACTTCAACAGAACCATCCAGTCTTCTCCCTAGCTTTTCTTGTAGTTCTAGCCGTTCTCTTTCTTGCCTGTTGTAGTTTTGTAGCCACTCGTCGTCAGCCAAAGGTTCATCGGCATATGCTAGGCCCGCGTTGTCCTCTTCAACGCTCGAGCCATCATCCGAACTTCCAAGGTCAGGGCATCCATTATGTACCCCGGAATAAAGTTTATATCGGAGTCATCAGTTTGATAACTCTCCTCCGAATCAGTTTCATGGTCAGACATAGTATTTTTGAGCAAATATAAAATAGAATCACCGACTGAAACAGCAAAACAACAATCCAAATCGATCAAAGCTAAATGCCGACTGCCTTGCGTGACGTCAGAAATTGGGCTAGACCCAGACTCCTTGCCACAGCGGACAAGGTCCATTGAAAGCCAACTTTAAAACGCCATAAAAATGGAACGATTTGACCAAATTAAAAAATTTTTTCACGGATACGCTAGAAATCATACCTAGATTTAATATCGCCAATAAAAATTTTTGCGAGGTGATTACAAGCCTATATTCACTGAGCTGCGAAGTGAATATAGTCTTGTGATCACCAAGCGTGAGGTGACTAATTGTTTTAGAAAAAATTCAGTATTGAAACATAATAATATATACAAACGTTCATAAATAAGATTTACTTCACCTTTAATTTCTTCAATTCTTTCTTCCATGATTTGTTTGCAAACTGTGGATTTTCGACAGCCATTTTGTTTTGAAAGCAATAGTTTACTGCTCAGAGCAGTCTGAGCAGCAATCAGAATGCTTGAAAGCCATTTTTCAATACTGAATTTATACTAATAACATTTAGCATTTCCCAATCAAGCAGGGTACTGATTCAAATTGATATTACAAAGCAATCATGTATTGTTGGGAAGGATGATCACAGATCATTTACATTGCTGTGTTTTCAAACATACTGTACCATAGAGGTAAAATGCTTTGCAGTCTCAATTGCACCCAGGATCCTTTAATCAATCTCAATACATTACATTGTTAGTAAAATAATCTAATGTATTAGAGGCATTTGAATTTATGGTTTAAAGAACATATGAATGTTCTTTGCTTTATAGAGCAACCAAGTGTCAGAAGAAGTACAGCAACTTAATGAAAAGAAGAAAAGGTGGTATTTCACACCAACAGCCCATACATGTCCAAACACATTGCAATTGCCAACAGAAAGCATGGTTCTTCCTCTTCCCTCTGAAGAAGACCTGTTCCAATTGTATGATATGGCATTCAAGAACACTCACTTTGGTATTAGATAGAGCTGAAAAACAAAGCATTCAATATGTTTTTCAAGTTTAGGAGAAAATACTAATCATCTTTATTAGCAATGATATTGGAGTTATCTCTATTCATAACAAAAACATGTTTCAGTTTTTAAGAAACAGGGGAACAAAGACCAGTACAGTAGTGTTACGGTAGCTTGCATGTGATGGGATAATGATAGTCTTTACGACATGTTGTGTTACTTTTAATTGTTTTTGTTAGAAAGTTCATTTAGTACTGTGATTGTTAATTTTACTGAATGTTCAAATTTCTTCGCTTGAATGTTCCAAACACACAATTTTGAAGTTTTCCTGAACATGTTTAACTTTATCTGGGATAATATGTTAAATCCACACACACACATTCCCCTTGTGCTTTGTCACGCTCAAACTTTAATTTGGTGTAAAGGACACATATTGTATCAATGCGAGGCTTGATGGTGAAGACAGTGCAAGGGAAAACCCACACTGGTCATACAGTGTTACTGTAGGCAAATTTTCTCCAACTGGAGGCAGGCACACTTTTTATTGGACTTCTAATTAAATATTTCAAGGTCTGTATGTTACCCAGTGCTGGTAATTTTGTATCTAAACTCCGCCGACAAATTAAGCCTGCAGAAGTGGGAGAAAATTTGCTAAAAATGACCATTGGGCACCATTACGCAGCGTCGCAAATATTTAGATATAAAAGTATATGCTATTTACTCAATTTTACACCACCTTCCTTTGTAATACTGTAATTCATGTTATAACCAAATTCTCTTAAGTTTGGTTTCCATTAAATCGCAATAGTCGCGGAATGCAGACATCGCTATCGCAAAAATCAATCTTTGTGCCTTTGTCATATAAGAGTCTTACAGTAGTTATTGGCATAACTCAAGTTTCCAATAAATCGCAGTTTTTATTAAAAATTTCGCGTTTTTAAAATCATTGCGATGCGGTTCTTGTGATAATTACGATTTAATCAAAAAATTAAATAAATAATAAATAAATTAAATGGAAACCAGGCTTTAGTGAGAAAAGCTCAAAAACAATTAGATGTGAGTCAGTATCTTCTCATGTACCAAAATGTTCATTAAGAGTTTGTTAGTTCATCAATCTTTAGTACTACCAGTTCTAAGGCTTCAGTATAAATGTCTACCCCCATTTCATGAGATTGTTGCAACAGATCGATTGATTCAAGAATAAATGATGTTAGCAAGTTATCATGCGGCAGGTGGGACTGCTTCAACAATTACATTGTTGTCACTTCCAACTGAAGATGGTCCATGGGGGTCATGTCCGTACATTTCCAAATCATATGGCTCTTAATCTAGCTCTGCATGTGCCAGTGGATTATCAGGATGAAACATTCCATTTATCCACATTTGGTTTGGGGAACAGTTTCTTTCTGTGCGTATCTTGTGGTGGTTGAATGCTTCTCTAAACTCATCAAGGGCCTTGTTGATCCTGGGAATAAAAATTAAGTGCAGCGTGAAAAGATGAACAGGATTATTTGCGTCAAGGATACCAGTAGACTCCATAGCATAGAAGATATAATAGTAAAGATGGCATACACATCGAAAAACATCCCTCCACAGTCGTTCGATGTGCTGGTTGTGTGCCTTCTCCCCTAGCTTGTATCATGGCATCGCATACTAGCACATTTTCAACACCCTTGTCAACCCTGATGTGTGAGGGCCATAAGTTCCCATCCATTTTTACGGCATCCAAAAACAGTTCAAGAATAGTTTCTGCAAGATTGTTTGCACTACATCTTAAAAACATTATTCGTCTGGAATAACCATCTATGCAACCGTGAATAACCATCTTCCATCTAATCAAAGAATGATGGCCATCCAGGTGCCATAGGGAATTTGGCCAAGGAACTTGATATTGCCTGCGAGAAATAACAATACCCCAACGTAATGCAGTGTTGTGTGGGTCAACTCTTGCCATACTTTCTCTTATTCTTTTTCTTTGAATTCTTAAGCCAACTGACTTCAGGTAACCTTCGACATACCACTGTCCAGTTGTGCAGCCATGATTTAAAATAAATTCTTTGACTTTTTCATCAAGTTCTTCGTCAGGCAAGTGATGAAATCCAGTCATATTTTATAAGTGTATTCAGATTCATCTTGTCTTGAGTATCGACATCGGCGCCCTCACTTATTGATCTAATCAAACAAATACTTTGATCAATAACTTCAGCATGGGATTCGGCGACTTCTAGGTCAACATCACTTTGAAAAATAGATTCTACATTGTCTAAAACGGACTCTAAAAACAATGGCAGGTCATTTTCAACATTAAAGACTTCTTCATCCGCCATGTTTGTCAAAACTGGTAAACTGCTCGCCCCAGTCTCCCGAGATTGAATGAATTTAGGATTTATTGAATGGATATTGAAATTAAATTGAATGCATGTACAAACATTAAATTGAATATGTTAAAGTTTAAAATTGAATAAATATTTATTAAATTGAATGAATATTTTAATATTAAATTGAATAAATATAAAAAAATATTAAATTGAATGAATATTTTAATATTAAATTGAATGAATATTTTAATATTAAATTGAATGAAAATATGACAATTAAATTGAATGAATATTTTAATATTAAATTGAATGAAAATATGGCAATTAAATTGAATGAATATTTTAATATTGAATTGAATGAAAATATGACAATTAAATTGAATGAATATTGCGATTAAATTGAACAAATATATTACATTGAATATTGCAACAATCGGTGTGCCATACCTGGGCGACATTTTTTGCAAGTGTTTACCGTGATTCAATTTTATACGTTTAATATCATCTATTTATATATTTGTAAGATAAACAACAAAATCTAATTTAGTACTATGACATTATCGATTTGTTTTGAGAGAAGGGCAATGAGAAAATGTTATTTGGCAGAACTACAGAGCATTTCTAGCAGTGACATGAACTCAGACGTCTGACCACAGCGGCCCAATCTCGCAAGGGTCACTTAGACTTATAGTATAAATGTATATTATAGTAATGTATATTATAGTAAAAATATGTCATATAAAAATATAAATTTTAAAATGAAATTGACTTGCCCATTTGATAGTGTGTGTTCTCCTTGTATTCCTCCTTTGTTGGACTAATATTTTCCGAGACTTTGTACTCGATGTTACTAGTATACATGAAACATGATAAAGGCCAACGATTGTCGATACGACGGCACGGCACTTCGAATCGAAAATTCTCACACTCAAAATGCTTTATTCTGCAGAGAAATTCGCCAGCATGCACAACAGATGCCGTTCTTCGAAAATATGTTGATACTTCGGCGAGATGTACAAGTTTTGGACCATATTTTAACAATGGAAATCAAAACCCATTTTATATTGAACTTGCCCAGGCCGAAAATTACTACGGCAAATGTCTGCACAACCAGGCCTCCTTTACCGTTGGATTTACAGGGGGGAAGCAGATGTTTCCGGTAACAGCCAGCCAATCGCAACCATGATAGTTACTGTTTACATTATTTGAAATTTGATATTCAAAATAAAAACTCCTTCGACCGGATACTGTATAAAACTCGAGATATTGTTGAAGAAAAGAAAACTAAACGACGGAGATTGTAGGAATTTAAGGAAGAAGAAAGCTCTTTGTTGGAAAGCATGGTAGAATATGATATTTTAATTCGAAATATGATCGTTAATATATTAGTGGCAACCTCCCCCTGTAAATCCAACGGTAAAGGAGGCCTGGTTGCGCAGACATTCAATATAAAATGGGTTTTGATTTCCATTGTTAAAATATGGTCCCAAAACTTGTACATCTCGCCGAAGTATCTTCGAAGAACGGCATCTGTTGTGCATGCTGGCGAATTTCTCTGGAGAATAAAGCAATTTGAGTGTGAGAATTTTCGATTCGAACTGCCGTGCCGTCGTATCGACGATCAGGAATTGTTAGCCTTTATCATGTTTCATGTATACTAGTAACATCGAGTACAAAGTCTCGGAAAATATTAGTCCTACAAAGGAGGAATACAAGGAGAACACACACTATCAAATAGGCAAGTCAATTTCATTTTAAAATTTATATTTTATGACATATTTTTACTATTACCATTGTACAGTTACAGTTTTGATAAAATATAAAGATACAATTCATATGGAAGGAAGACTAACAAGCCCGTCAGGGCTTTTCTAGTAGTCCACCCTAAAAAATTTAAAAAACAAACTAATATAACAAAGGAGAATAGTACAGATAATGTCAGGTTCAGGATATATGAGGTCCACTAATACAAATTAACTTTATAAAGTTATAAATTATTTTTATTTACATTTTTTGTGAGTACAACTAATAATCTTCAGAAGAAAGAAGATATAATTTTAAATTGCACTTAAATATGTATTTACTATCGCTATTTTTAATGTATTCCGGCAACATATTCCACACTACTGTGCATCTGTTTTTTGTGGAATACAATCCATAGTTTGTTTTATTGTAGTGTTTGTGTAATTTCATAGAGCCTCTGGTATTATGGCAATGAATAACATTGTTTTTTATGCAAAGTGAATCAAATTGAGGTGGTAGTGTATTTTTTACTGCGTCGAATGTGAACAAACCAACTTGAAAAGCATTTATCTTATTAATATTTAGTATTTCTAGCGTTGAAAAAAGGGTTGAAGATGAGAAAGTATAAGGCAAAAATTATATTATTTTCAGAATCTTTTTCTGTATCGTTGATACTGACTTTAATCTTGTTTTATAGTTGCTAGCCCATAGTATATTACCGTAATATAAATGTGGGTAAACAAGAGTATGATATAGAGTTATGAGATGTTTTTTATTTAGGTAGTGAACTTTACAAAGAATGTTAGATACCGTTTAATAATTTCTTAGTTATGTAATCAATATGACTTTTCCATGTTAAGTGTTCATCAATTATAATACCAAGGAATTTAGTTTCTTTAGCATTTTGTATAATTTTATCATTAATCTTAAAGGGTAGATTTGCGTTATGTTTTTTCCTGAATGATTTGAATATAATGTAGTTAGTCTTTTTAATATTTAAGGTAAGCTGATTATCCTTAAGCCATGTTTGCACAAGTATAAGTTCATGATTTATTTCTATTTCAAGTTGTTTCAGGTCTTTTCCTGAACGAAATAAATTGGTGTCATCTGCAAACAATATAAACGAAGGATTACTAGAGCAATGTATATCATTGATATATAAAAGAAAAAGTAATGGGCCCAAAACTGTTCCTTGAGGAACTCCACATTTGATCGTTTTTTCAGTTGAGTAAGTTACATTATATTTAACTATCTGTTTTCTGTCAGTCAAGTAGTTTGCAAACCAATCATTGCATATACCTCTAATTCCATAATGATGAAGTTTAGTCAATAAAATTTTATGATTTACGGTGTCAAATGCTGATAATATCAATTTATAACATGTATGATATTATAAACTACAGCTTTGTTCATTATCAATACTTTTTTTCTACCAATATATTCCAATTTTATAATATTTAGCTATCAGATTTTCCTAATGAACCCACATACAGACCAGTTCTTTCTCAACCTATATCGTAATAATTTCTATAATACTTCAAAAGATGAAATGGTCCAAAACCGTAATAATTTATTCAACATCATCAATGCAGATATTTTCTACCGTATGACCTCTTGGCCCATCCAATTCCAACTTAAATTTTGGAGTAAACCCACCAGTGACAAAGATACATTCGAACTTTTCCTGTTTTTTCTTGGTAATGGAGGGTCACCATCAATCACAGGAGAATGGATTTTAACCTCCCAAGCATGCATGGACGGATCAACGCACAGGTGAAAAAAGAGCAAGACAGCTGGATTTTATCCTTACCAACAGAGAAGCAAAAGCACACCACTGGTTTTATTTCAACCTTTTCCATAATGACTGCCATTTCCTAAATGGCATAAAAAGGCAATCAAATTAATCTTTATATAATATTCGTATACTGTAACATACTTCATAACCATTCATTTTAATGTCTAATTTTAAATATTTAATATTTTCTTTTACATTCCCTATCTTTATATACTATAACAACTTATTAATCAAACCCATTTATATCCTATAATGATGAAATATTATTATAAATTATGCGAAACAGTCTTACACTGTTTTTATACAGAGGTCACCCCCACATTGTGTTACCTTGCTCTAGCTAAATAAATTAACAGACTTTTCATTAGTCCTTGTTAATGATAATAAGAGAACCCTTCCAGTAAGGATTCTTTCGGGACACCTACAAAATGCCACTTAGATTTGCTAATGTTCCACCATCCAAGTACAAATATAGTAAATATGCGCAAACCTTTTGTACAAAATAAATGTGCAAGTTTAAACAACAATTATCATCTATCTATTATTTCATTTATTTTACCCAAAGATATATTTTAATAAATTGATATTTTTTAAGGTTTTACTTATTTTTAAATTTTATTTTGACGAGGCAGAAGCCTGCTGCTTGGCAGAAGTTGCTCCCTCACTACAGACTGACACATCACTACAAACAACTCAACGTTAAAAAACCCAACATGCTATGGGAACCGTACCAAAGGGATTCCATCTAGAACAACCTTTAATGGCACATAGATTGACAGTGATCTACCAAAATGTATTTAACTATACAACCCTTAAAAAATACATCACTGGGTACAGTAGGTTATTCAATTGTTTGAATGATACTTAAGGAAAACTGCTCTTCGGCATTTTGAGCAGAGACTCTTTGTAAAAAACATCATTTCAAGTACACATGTAAAAATGCACAGCTTGTAACAAGTCTGCCAACAAGTTGTTACAAGTCTGTTCACAAGTTGTTTTTGCACTGCTTGTTGCCAGTTTGTTGTAACAAGTTTGAAACAAGCTGTTAACAACTTGTAACAAGCTCGATTGCATTATCAGCCTTGTTACAAGACTGTGCTAACAAGTTTGTTACAGCCATGATATAACAAAGATGTTGCGAGGTTGTCAACACAAGGTTGTAACAATCTTGTTCTAAAGCATGTAACGGACTTGTCAGAACAACCTTGAAACATGTCTGATAATTTCTACAAGGTTGTTACAAGTTGTCAA